TACACTCTAAAAAATGCTGGGTTGTTTCAACCCAACTTTGGGTCAAATATGGACTAACCCAACCGTTGGGTAAAATTTTTACATTCAATTTTTAACCTAAAAGTTGGGTTAGTCCATATTTGACCCAAAGTTGGGTTGAAACAACCCAGCATTTTTTAGAGTGTATTAAAGGGTTAGTTCACCCAAAAATGACATTTCTGTCATTAATTACTCACCCTCATGTCGTTCCAAACCCGTAAGACCTCCGTTCATCTTCAGAACACAAATTAAGATATTTTTGATGCATTCTGAGAGCTCTCTGACCCTCCCATAGACAGCAAGGGTACTACCAAGATCAATGTCCAGAAACGTAGCAAGGAGATCGGTAAAATAAACCATGTGACATCAGGGGGTCAACCGTTTCTGCGTTGTTTGTGCTTTGATCTGAACGGAAACAGCGTATCCGTGTGACGCAGCTGACACAGAACAACATACGCTGTTTGCGTTCAGTAGATATTCTCCAAAATGGCACTATGGTGGAGACAAATTGTTGAATACAGTCTTTATTTTTTTTCTTTTGCACACAAAAAGTATTCTCGTAGCTTCGTAATATTACAGTTGAATCCCTGATGTCACATGGTTTATTTTACCGATCTCCTTGCTACGTTTCTGGACTTTGATCATGGCAGTACCCTTGCCGTCAATGGGAGGGTCAGACTCAGAGAGCTGTCAGAATGCATCAAAAATATCTTAATTTGTGTTCCGAAGATGAACGGAGGTCTTACGGGTTTGGAACGACATGAGGGTGAGTAATTAATGACAGAAATGTCATTTTTGGGTGAACTAACCCTTTAATACACTCTAAAAAATGCTGGGTTGTTTCAACCCAACTTTGGGTCAAATATGGACTAACCCAACTTTTAGGTTAAAAATTGAATGTAAAAATTTTACCCAACGGTTGGGTTAGTCCATATTTGACCCAAAGTTGGGTTGAAACAACCCAGCATTTTTTAGAGTGTACTAATAATTTCCTGAAAAATATGTTCTTTGTGTTTTGATAATTAAATAAAATAATTAATAATAATAATAATAAATACCATTAATTAAAATGGTATGAAAATGGACTATTACCTCTTTTTCCTTTCCTGTTACTATTTCTGTGAGAAACCGCTGCAAACGATTCAGTTTGTGAGTGAACTGTCCGAATGAATCAACGGAACTGATTACATCAACAGAGTGATTCATTTGCGAATCTGGAACCATCGCAGGTTCTGATTCTAAACAGCTGACAGAAAACACAAATTACTCGTTTGAAGAAATATTGGGCTATCAGAATAAATTATTCTCAGGTTGGCATATGGTAATGTCCATCCTCATAATTATTGGTAAATCTTTTTGAATATCGTTTCATTAGTTCTGTATTTGCGTGTCTCAAATGCTTTAGGTTTTTTTCTCTTTGAGAATACAAACACTTCATTAAACTCTGGTCCTCTAGAGCAGTGAATCTCAACCTTTTGGCGTACCGGACCCCAGTCCAATTCAGAACCATCCTCAAGGACCCCCAGAACAAAATTGACTCGTATCATTTTTGTCTTTGTGAGGACCAAATGCAGTCAAGTATAATTCAAGTTAGTTGACTCGTCCAGTATTTGGCCATATCATCAGCTATATTGGATTTTTCTTTCATGGGAACATGTCATGTCAAAATATACAAAATTTATACAAAAATCATACTTTCAACAGAGTGATTCATTTGCGAATCTGGAACCATCGCAGGTTCTGATTCTAAACAGCTGACAGAAAACACAAATTACTCGTTTGAAGAAATATTGGGCTATCAGAATAAATTATTCTCAGGTTGGCATATGGTAATGTCCATCCTCATAATTATTGGTAAATCTTTTTGAATATCGTTTCATTAGTTCTGTATTTGCGTGTCTCAAATGCTTTAGGTTTTTTTCTCTTTGAGAATACAAACACTTCATTAAACTCTGGTCCTCTAGAGCAGTGAATCTCAACCTTTTGGCGTACCGGACCCCAGTCCAATTCAGAACCATCCTCAAGGACCCCCAGAACAAAATTGACTCGTATCATTTTTGTCTTTGTGAGGACCAAATGCAGTCAAGTATAATTCAAGTTAGTTGACTCGTCCAGTATTTGGCCATATCATCAGCTATATTGGATTTTTCTTTCATGGGAACATGTCATGTCAAAATATACAAAATTTATACAAAAATCATACTTTATACGGACCCCCTGGCCTTATGTCAAGGACCACGAGGGGTCCATGGACCCCTGGTTGAGAAACACTGCTCTAGAGGTAAAGGGATCTGATAACGCTTAACCTCACAAAGACTGCGATCAATTAGTAGCAGGTTCATAATTGATGAGGAACAGGAGTGAGCTGCGCCGTACCTTCAGCTCCGGCATGCTGCCGATCAGCTCGTAGGGCAAACGCACTTCCGGTTGGTTCGTGTAGTCCAGCGGCACGAGCTGCGGAGCCAGATCTCGGTATCGATGAAACAGTCTGAGAAAAGATGTCAAATATTCATTGATAACTCTTCTCAACTATTCAACTACTACCTAAGTCTATAATATGACATCTTTAGCAGTTACAGCTCAGATGCCTTTTTAATTTAAGTAGCTACCTCACCTCAGAATTTCTTTTCTGGTGAAATAAGTGCAGTCCTACAAAAGAAGAGAAGCAAAATGATTCATGCAATGATTCACTAAGCAGCATTTCAACTCAGTATTATTCTAAACACAGATATTTTTAAGATTCAAAGGTCACTTCATGCAAATGATTTATAATTATGTGAGGAAAAAATTATAATGAGGTGCAAAGCATGCATATATATTCATGAATAATGTAATTTTTAAATGTATTTTAAATGCAGGTGAGACTATTGTTCAAAAGTTTGGGGTTATGAAGTTTATATATATATATATATATATACATACAAATTAATACGTTTATTCTGCAAGAATTCATTAAATTGATCAAAAGTGTCAGGAAAGACATTTATAATGTTACAAAAGATTTCTATTTTCAATTTTCATCAAAGAATCTTGCAACAAATGTATCATGGTTTGCACAAACAAATATGAAGCAGCACAACTGTTTTCAACATTGAAAATAATCAGAAATGTTTCTTGAGCAGCAAATCAGCATATTAGAATGATTTCTGAAGGATCATGTGACACTGAAGACTGGAGGAATGATGCTGAAAATTCAGCTTTACATCACAGGAATAAATTAAGTTTTACACTATATTCAATTAGAAAATAGTTATATTAAATTGAAATAATATTTCACAATATTACTCTTTTTACTGTATTTTTGATCAAATAAATGCAGCCTTGGTGAGCAGAAGAGACTTTTGAACAGTAGTGTGCTATCAAAAATGATGCCTGACCTGATATGCGTCCAGTTGCTGGGATGTAAAGATGGTCTGTTTGTTCCCCATTCTTGCAGCTCCATGGCAAACTGGCTCTCGACTGCAGCCGAATGGCAGCAGATATTTCAGATATGAAATACTGGCACAAAGGCCCGCAGTGAGACATGGCAGATCAGGTGTCGGCCGCTGCGAGGCCTTTAGTTCTCTGATAATGGCAGCATTTCATCATTTAGCTGCTGTGAATGGCAGTCTCTCTTGGACGTGAATGTGTCCTGTCGGTCAGGGGAGAGCGGGGGAGATACCCGAGCGTCAGATTACTGACCCGTTCACATGCTGGGAACGCTGGAAATATGCTGCTATGGTGAAGTGATGTACAACAATATTCAATGTTCATTTTCACAGAATTATTGTGTGATAGAGAGTAGTTCAAGGGCACATGAACAGATTTCTACTGAACAACAGTGGACAACAAGACCTTGGAAGAACAAACCGACTCCTCCAAAAAATTATACATCACTTTCTTTCTGGTGGAAATGTCACTGCCTATTAAAAGAAAAACAAATATACTTGATAAAATAAAATTACACAAACAAACAAATGAATACATAATAATGTATCAAATAAAATGAGTACATTTGGAACAATCAAAATATTAAGGATTTATATGACAATTAAGCATTTTTTTCTGTCCCAAATTCTCATGATTAATTTTGTTTTATTTATATACTTTTATAGTTTATATTAATATTTAGAAATTGTAGTTTTAGTGTATTTTTTAAACTAAGGAAAAAGGAAGAAAAATGTATAAAATAAAAAAGACTTAAAAAGACATGATAAAGAGGCGTGTTTTATGTCCCAAATACTCTTACAACTTTTTGTGTTATTTGTATACCATTACAGTTTTCATTAATACTTTGAATTAGATTTTAGTTTTTAACTTTTAGTTTAGATTTTAGTCATTTTGTTTTTGTTTTTAATTTTTTTATATTTCGGAAAATGTTTGTTTTTATTTCACTTTTCGTAATTTAGTTCTTCACCTTACACTTATTTCAGTTACTTGCCAAGGCAACATTTTTACTTTTCTTTTTTTTTCATCATTTTCATCTAATTTTAATTTGAACTTTATATCAATTAACAAAATGTTTTGTTTTTAAATAGTTTAACAATAACACTGCGAATTACTGTAATGTTTATGAACAGTTCATATTTGACTTTTTCCCCCATTATTTCAATGATGACTCTTATTTCTTTCTTTTTGAGGAGCGAAATGTGACCCAGTCATGAGTTTTGTAAGAAACTCTCTCTTCATGCTGGTTTCAGTCATTTTAAAGCGTTTTGACTAGAGATCTCATGGAAAGCAGCCTGGAGTATTGTGTTCATATCGGCAAATGCATCTCAATTATGGTATTAAATATGCAAGCACTGGTGCATCAGCGCACTATTGTGAGTTGACTTGGTTGGCACAGAGGCTGAACGGTATCAGTTGATCTGGCAGCTGTTTACCTGCTGTTCTTTTACTTTCTCTCTGGGTAACAGCTCTCATCTCTACCTGTCAGCTGCTGTTTTTGTTGGCACTTTTCCATGAGCTCTGGGAAAACATGTCTGGACAGATTCAGAGCAGATGCTGCAGATCGGCCTAAAGTTACTACATGGTATATTCATGTTATATTTGTATTTCTTTGTTTTGGACCATTTTTTTCTGCTTTATCTGTCACCATCTGCAGCTCAATACTGTAAAAAATGACCGTGAATTTAGCGGTAAAAGAATGTAAAAATGCTACAGTAAAAACCTGTTAAATGGTTAACGGTAAATTCCCCTACTATATACAGTGAAAAACTGTATTGGACATTACATGTATTGGACATCAATTTTACGGTAGTATACCGTTTTTGGAAGTGAAAAAGACCGTATAATTTACAGTGAATAACCGTAAATGGACATTCCCAGAATTCCCTGCATTACATTTCAAATTTTATGTTTTTTTGTTGAAATAACTATGTTTCTTCTTAGTTTTGTATCAGTTTTGTATATTAGGGTTGTGTGTTACACCTAATGTTGAATGTTTATTGCATTATTTCAGGTTCATGTGTGTTACCGTGATGGTGTTTAGTGTTTGTGTGAATGACACTGTGCACCTTCTATATAAGTTATTATTTAAAAGCTGCTTGTGATGGGCTTTGGTTCATCATGTGACTTTCTCATCACCTCCTGCATTTGGTGGTTATCAGTGTATTACAAAGCTACAAAACAGATTTCAGTACTTCAATAGGTTGGTATATTAACATTATTTCAGTTAATGAAAATACGGTATTTAACTGTAAATTTAAGTTAAAACCGTAAAACATAAAACGTTGCTACCGTATTTTTTACGGTAAAATTCCGGCAACCCCAGCTGCTGTTTTTTTACCGGAAATTTTACGGAATTTTTTTTTACAGTGAATGGACTGATTAATGTGAGTTCAGCTGAATCATGAAGATACAGATACTGAGAGTCTCCAAAACCCTCTGTTTGTAGTGGAGGAGAAAGAGAGAAGGGGAAAAAATAAAAGATAATGGGGGGGTTTAAAAATGGGGAGAGGAAAAAGAAATGGGTATAAAAGAAAAGGGGAAGAATGTGGAAAAACAAGGGGGAAGGCAAAAAAGAAGAAAAGAATAAAGGGGAAAGAAAAAGGTGAATGACAAATGGAAAAGAGGAAAAGAAAAAGGCAAAAAGCAAGGGAGAAAGAAAACTGCGATAGAAGAAAAGAAACGAAAAAAGCAACAACAAAAAAAGAAAAAAGTGGGGAAAGAAAGATGGGGAAAAAGGAAAAGAAAAAAGTTTGCTATATATAAATTAACTGGCAACAAACAGAAATAAAAAACAACTTTAATCCATTATTTTTTAGATAGAAAAAAAGAAGGGGAAATGAGAAAATAAAAAGAGGAAAAGGAAAAAGCTGAAATGAAAATAGAAAGAGGGAAAGGAAAAAATTGGGGAAAGAAATTAAAAAAGGAAAAAGGATAGCATAAATATATAAATGATAGCAACAACAACAACAACAGAAATAAAAAGCAACTCTATCCATCATTTCTGTGTAAGAATTTATTTAGACTTTATAATAGTTCACAACATGCAATATACAAATGTACATCTTTTACAAGCGACCAACTCAAGCTCCTCCATATATTAAAATTTGATCTCTATTTACATATTTTACAGTTTCATCCAGTCCAGATTTCTGACAGAGAGGTCAGTGTGTGACCCGTCCAGAGATGAATGAGGTTGGTCAGTGACAGCCGCAGCTGCCGGCCACCATATCATCATACTGCTTCAGAACCACGTTCTCATCGTCGTCAAAGTACAGCAGGTTGATGCTGAAGAGCTTGTCAGGCACGCAGCAGGGCGTCTCGATGCCTTTGGTCAGTTTGAGGGCGTTGATGATGGACTGGACCGTGGCGTGGTTGGTGGGCCTCATGTTCTGACCCAGGGGAAACGGACAGGAGCCTTTGCAGTGGTAAGCGTTGTATCCGCGCGGAGACACGATCCACCCGGACCAGCCGATCTCCTCGAAGTCCACATAGAGCGGCAGACGCTGACACGGCATCTTCTCCCCGCTCTCATCATAGTCTATGGAGCGAGCGCTGCGACGGGCCGCAGCCGGGAGAGGGAGGCTGGGAAACGGGAGCCTGGGAGAATCATCTGAACCTGAAGACAAAAACAAATAGTTTATTTTGCCCCTAAATATGATCATCCTTGTGCAAGGCACCCTCAACTTAAAATGTGCAAGTCAGTTATGTATTTTCATGTAGAAAAGACCCTTTTTATAAGGTGAAAAATGAATATTTCTTTAAAACATATACTAGAATGATATATTTATAATGTGGAAAATATTGTTTCAAAAATATTTAGTGTTACTCTATTATCAAAATACTATTTTTTAAATATTTTGGATTAGTTCGAATTTTTTTTCAACTACATTTTAATTTGAAAGTTTTAGCAAATTAGTTGGTTTATTTGATTTTATACATTTTTTATAAATATATATTTTTAATTATTTTCATATAGTTGCATGCATGTTTTAAACATTTTAAGTTAAAGTAATTTTTTTAGGTTTTTAAGTTTTAATTTTAGTTAACTATTCTATTACGTTACTACATTTTTTCCCTTTAGTACTATATTAGATAAATTATATTATTTGTTTTATTTTATTTATTTAAGCACTTTTTATTTAAATAATAATTTTTTATTTACTATAACATTATTCTTTTTTATTTACTATAACACTATTTTATTATTTACTACATCACTAATTTTATTTATTTATTGTTTCATTTTTACACAGTTTTTTCTTTACTTTTCCCAAGTTTTTTTAATATTTTATTTGCTAAATTATTTCAAGCAACACATTTCTTTTTTTAAAGATTTTGAGTTAACTATAACAACCCTGTTTCTATTACGTTAGTACTGTTAGATGTATTATATTAAGTATTATTTTTTAAACAACTTTTTAAATAATTTAATTTTGTTCAGTTTTTTATTTATTTAGTATATTTTTATTATTCATACAACATTGTATTTTTTATTATTTACTATAACACTACATTTTTTTATTATGTACTTTAAAAAAAAAAGTTTTTAATTCAAACCTTTCCACAGATCTCCAAACTTCCTGGTTTAAGACAAGATGTATTCATGTGAATCCCTACAGCCTAAACTATCGCTCATTTGAGATTATTGTGGAGAAACATCTGAGAAGCAGCAGACTATCTCAGTCTATTTAAGAGACCGATATGTCATACCTTTAGGCGTGATCTCCAGAGAAGCCGCTCGTCTGCCGTCATCGGTGAAGAGGACCAGCATGGGCTGTTTGCTGTGATGGTGGTTACGACCCGATGCGAAATGCACAGTTTTCAGGTCCATCTGAAGACCTGCTAAAGTCCTGACTGAGACCAGGAGACCCAGATTACTGCCTTCGTCTGACATCCAGGAGCGAACCTTTGAGATATAAAACATTTATTATTGAGAAGAATTTGCACGAGGAACTCTTTGGGTGAGTTCTAAAACCTATCAGGCTCCCTTCTAAGGCAGCAAGTTTGGAAGACTCTAAGTGTGAAGACTCTAAGTGTGATTTTAGTTCATACTCACAGCTTGAGTGATGGTAAAAACCTCCCAGCCGCTGGAGTGGATGGGCACCAGTCTGGATGAGAGCAGCTTCTTCCCTTGTGAGACGTTCTTCTTGCTGCTATCGAGGACCTGATAGACACTGACCTGTACACACAAACATCACTGAAATGATTAACCTGGAGAACTTTCTTTTAGAAGTGCATCTTTTCTTTTGGGACTGTAAATACTGTACCTGACAGAAGTGATGTCTGTTGAACGTGAGCGATGCTTGTGGTCTGAGCTTGAACAGATGAAGCTCGGCCGTGAGGATCTTCTCACTCTTGGCCACCGTGGACATGTTGAAGAGGAACTCGATTTGGTCACTATGCACTAAAGAGAGAAGTCGTGATGAGAAATGGCACACAATCACACATACTTTATACATGTTTTACACCATCCCCCACCTCAATATTCAGATTAGCAGCTGAAGGATATGGGTCTTAATGAGCCATTCTCAAAACCTTACACTTAGTCTCGCAATCTTGAATATTTGAGTACATGCTTGACTAAAGTTAAGCTAAAAACTCAAATTTATATTTTTAATTATACATTCGTAGGGTCAAGCCATTTCATATTTCATAATTAAAATAAAAGTATTATCAAAACATTGAGTATTTAATGTTTTGATTTTTAGTTGACTGAATGTTTATCATATATATATATATTTTTAAATGCAATAGACTTCTGTTTGAAATTAATTTTGTAGACTAATATCTACTTTTGAGGAAACTGCAAAAACAAAATAAAATGTAATTAATATTATTAATAATTCAGATTTAGTCTCCCAATCTTTGAATATTTAGGTACATGCTCGCCTAAAGTTAAACACTAAAGCATACAACTAAACTTAAACTTTTAAGTAGGCCTATATACTCTTATGCAATTCCATATTTGAAAATTAAAATAAAATAAAGTATCAAAACATTGAGAATTTACTTGATTTTTTGTTGATTGATCTCATGATTAAAAAACAACAACTAAAGGCTTCTGGTTAAATTCGATTTTAATAGTCAAATAGTTCAATCTTGATAAAACTGCAAAAACTCAATTTAAAAAATTGACTAAACTGAAATATTTTAAAAATTAAACTTATGGCTAGCTGGCTAGTTGCCATTCCTCATTTTCATTTAGTTATACTAAAAAACGAAGAAGAAAAAAACTATACAGGCATTTTTTATAAAAAAAAAGAAAAGAAAAGACAAAAACACAAAACTACTAAAAATTGAATATTAAAATAAATGTAAAAATAAAACATTTTTAAAAAAGAGAGAATACATATCTTTTGTTTTGTACAATTAAACGTATGACAAAAAAAAAACTCGAAAGAAAACAAGTGCTTCCCAAAATGTTCCCATCTTAAGTGTGCGCTTTATGTTCACTGTCCCGCTTCAAATCAATAAAGAAATCAGAAGCTTACGTTTATCGAAGAAACCGCGGACGGTGTTTCCCTCCAGGAGCGTCGGGTCTTTGGTGACTCCGTCCACATCCGCGATGGTGTTATACAGGTCCAGCATGTACTGAGGAGGCTGCTTGTGTCCCCGGACCAGAGCAGCAGGAGGATCCTCCATCCCAAACACCTCCAACAGCCTCCTGATGGCCTCCGAGCGCACCTCTGCAGACTCGGTTTCCAGCTGATTCACAGACGGTCTGCAGACGGCGAGTCCCATCACGGAGATCCAGATCACTGCGGGCAACATGTTCACTGCTCCTCGAGAGATGCTCTTTGGTTGCTGGAGCTGGACTGAATGAGGCCAGACTGGCAGGGCTTTATATGATGTTGGCAAAGTCTTCGGTCAACAGCCGTAAAGAGCTGCTATTTAGTCGCAAATGTGAATCAGCAATCAGTGAATGTAAAGCAAATCTAATGGCGGTGTTAACAAGGTGCGAACTGGACTGGTGGTCCTGTGGGGAGACCCTGAGAGGAAATTAGTGTTTATCTACCGTGCTATGTTGTAAATACACCCTACATATATCGATTTAAGAAATAAAATAGTTACATTATAGTTAAGATGTTTAATTGTATTACATTTTGTCTGTTTAGGCGGCGCGAAGTGGATTTGGAGGGAAGTTTGCTCACCGCGGGCGGTTGACTTCCCTCAAAATGGATCCATTAATTGAGACAAAGGAGGATAATGTGATACAGGAACAATAATTATTTCGACAAACACCGTGAGAAGGTTCCAGCATGTGCCCTGTGTTTTCATGTTAATGGCAGACACACCTGCTCAAACAGTTGGATTTACAATCTCGCGCGGCTCGTATGATAATGGGAACATTTATTTGAAGAAATGGGCTCGAGTGTGATTCAATATATAGTTAATGTAAGTGCGAGGGACTTCGCTGGGTGGTTTAGACTGGTTTAATTTCTCATCTGTAATTGTTTGTTTTCATTAGGGGCAGTGTGATTTTTTTAAACACTAATGGATTGCATAAGCTTAATGGATGGCATGAGCTCTTGATATATTAATGCCGAAGGAGACTGTTGTTGCATGGCATCTTTGCAATCAGTTATATTTTAGTTTCAGAGTTGTTGACTTATCTGATTGATATCTTCCAAGCTTTAAAATCAAAGTAGGTGGCCCCAGTTGAAGCATCATTACGGTGCCTCTTATGCCCTTAAAGACTATATTAGGTGCAAATACTGTCTGCACTGTACTATCTATGTTTTGGATGTTGCAGTTTACTCATTTATATGTCACAAATCACAAACAGTTGCAACAAAGCATTAGAAATGTGCATTTGGACAGTGCAGGGACTATAAACATGACATTCAATTTGACTATCTATCTATCTATCTGAAAACTATCTATCCATCTATCTATCTGAAATCTATCTATCTATCTATCTATCTATCTATCTATCTATCTATCTATCTATCTTTAATGATAGATAGAAAAATGTTTAAAATGTTTAAACATGTTTAAAAACATACAAATCTTAATGCAACATTTTTTAGTTTATAAATGTATAATCTTAGAATTATTTATTTTGGATTACAAGTTTTGCACAAATTTTATAATTTTGTAAACAAAATGCATAGATTGTGAATTGCACATTTAATTTCTGAAAACTTGTTTTAGATTGTGAATTGTATGTAATATTTTCCAAAAATGTAAGAAATTAGCTTACATTATTACATTATTATCTTATTATCTTATAGTATCTCTTTAAATAGATGCAAATGTTAATGCACAAGTTTATATATTTCTAATGTTATAATTTTTTAATTGGGATTAAAACTTTTTGTATATAAACTTTATTGTAGGCTATACATGTTTATAATTCTTTGTATAAATTGTGAATTTTACATTTCATAGTTATAATTTCCAAATAAGGCCAGAAATTGTCTTACCCACATTTGACAAATTGGATTGCTTTTTTATTGGTTTGCAATAACTTTTAGTTGTCTCTCTGTAATGATCTTTTTGGGATTACAGTATTTCGTAGGCTCTTTTGCATATGCAACACCTCTTTGTCATTTGCATTTCTTGCAACACTTTAATTATTGGTTGATTTGTAACGTGATTTAAAACTGAGACATGATTTGCATGTGTAACTTTCTTTAGTTGCTCTGTGCAGATTGTCATGTAATCCAAAAATCGTGGACTGAAACTTACTGACATAGATTTTATTTACAAAATACTTTTTACATAATTTACATATATTACAGAAATATCGGAACAGCATCATTGCATCATGCCTTTAAATTGCCATCCATTAATGCACATCCCCAAACCTGACATTACAGTCGTGAAAATGATCCATGAGGGAAACTTCATCATGTTCTCATTGTAGTTTCTGAAGTCATCCAGTAGAGGACGCCGTGTTTAAGACTGGCATAGACAGGAAGTGATGGCCAGAACAGTGCGGATTTGGCCATGTTGACTGGGGAACGTGTGGCTCTCGTAGTCTTGAGGAACACAAGCATTGCCCTGTCCTTCAGCCCACAGCAGACATTCACCGAGATCAGACGAGCTCCTGCAGAAACACACAAGTGTGTTAGTCAACATCCAATAAAATGCACTCAAATCATCAATGGCAAAGGTTTAAAGGTGCACTAAATAACTTTTCAACTGTAAAAAAAAGTGTTAAAACCCTACAAATGAGCAATACTTTTAGAAAATCTGTTTAAAATGATGTTAAATGATATATAGTGTCATATAACATCAAATGCAGTTTTGGACATCTCACTAATGAAACTTAACTAGATCAGTTATTGTCAAAATTTACCAGCATGTTCACCATCCAAGTATCACACATTATAATGAGCCATAGCATTATTTCTCACTAAGCTTAGAACATTTTGTGTGTCTATTTTTACATTTGTTCATTAACATTTACAAAAGCTGTTTAAAATTGTTAATGTTAATAGAAAGCTCACTCAGTGAGTTTGAGTAAAACATTCATTTAGGACAGAAACAACATGATTCTACAAGTTACATATCGATAGATCCTATACATTTATACTTTTATATACTCTACAGGTCAAAAGTTTGGAATAATTTGGAATAAAAAGTTTGGAATAATTAAATTTTTTAAATGATTTTGTCTCTTCTGTTCACAAAGGCTGCATTTATTTAATCAAATACAGTAAATATTGTGAAAATTGTTACAATTTCAAAAACTGGTTTCTATTTGAATATTTAAAATGCAATTTACTGTAGATACTAGAATGATTTCTGAAGATCATGTGAAACTGAAGACTGGAGTAATGATGCTGAAAATTCAGCTGCGCATCACAGGAATAAATGTACAATATGTTACAATAGAATACAATTAAATTGTAATAATATTTCACAAAATTGCTGTTTTTACTGTATTTTTGACCAAATAAATGCAGCCTTTGTGAACATAAGAGACAAAAACATTAAAAATAAAAGTTAATTATTTCAAAATACGCAATATTTTACTTTATATTTTTTATTTACTTTATGTATACTCTTTATTTATATATTTATACTTTATTCATTGACTGATTTTATTTACAGTGTAACATCTTTATATCTAACTACTGTCAGACTGTTGAATTATTATTTTTACACTGTATTTCATTATGTAAATTGTCAAATTACTGTATAAGGTATACTGTATATCTAATTTATATATACTGTGTATATATATATATATATTATAACAACTTATAACATCCAAGTGAAAGATAAAACACCAAAATGTCAGGGAAAGAAAATAAAAAAACAGAATCACTGAGATGGAAAAAGCCCCCCCCCCCCTCCTAAAAATGACTTGTAAACTCAATCAGGTGTAGCCTCTCAATCACCTTCTCAATGGCACACAAAGCCATTTGACCTTCAACTGTGATCAGCTGTGCTCATTTTGATTAGCTCAGCATGAAAAGAGCTTTCCTGGAGCATCTCAGTCCTACAACTGAAGCAAACAATCAACTCTGGGTGGCAAGGCACTGTCAAAAGATCTCTGGGATAAAGTTGTGGACAGGCACATGTCAGGAGATGAGACAATAAGATTTCAAAGGCTTTATCAATGAAGCACAGTGAAGTCTGTTATTAAGAAATGGAAGGTATTTGGTGAAACACAGACCCTCCCTGGATCAGGACGTCGCTCCAAACTGGATGAGAGAGCCGGAGGAAACTGCTCAGAGAGGTGACCGAGAGACCTACAGCAACTCTGAAGCAGCTGCAGGAATTTATGACAAAGAGTGGTCATTGTGTACACGTGACAACAATATCACAAATCCTCCACAAATGTGGCTTGTATGGGAGGCTCGCAAGAAAAAAGCCACATGCAGTCATGACTGAGCTTCGCCGAAACACACCTTGAAGATTCTGAGGTAGATGAGACTAAAATTGAATTATTTGGCCTCAACACCAAACGATATGTCTGGTGGAAATCCACTACAGCTCAGCATCCAAATAACAGCATTGCTCCAGTAAAGCATGGAGGTGGTGATGTCCTGTTATGGGGTGTTTCTCTGCAGCAGGGACTGGAGCACTCGGCATGATAGAAGAAAAAATGGACCGGGCAAAATACCGTCAAATTCTTGAGGAAAATCTGCTGTCCTCTGCCAGAAAGTTGTCAATGGGAAGAAGGTTTACCTTCCAACATGAACATGACCCAAAGCACACAGCAGAACTGAGCACACAGTGATTGAAGGAGAAAAAGGTGAATGTCTTTGCATGGCTTGTCAGAGCCCAGACTTAAACCCCACTGAAAATCTGAGACTGTAGTCCACAAGCACTCAGCATTAAATTGAACTGAACTTGAGCAGTTCAGCAAAAGGTGGTTCAACAAAATACTGACACAACGGGGTGATTCCTTTTCCAACTCAGTGATTCTGTTTTTTAATTTTTTGACATGTTGGTGTTATACCTTTTATTTTTTTTTCATCATAACACCAAAAAACAACTACCCTGAAAATGTTTAAATATGCATTAGAAAACAATGGAAATCACATATAAAATTAACTGTTGTATTTCTGCTTTGGATTAAAAACTGACCGAAGTGTCAAAGCAAACAGCGATATATCATTCAGAATAAACTGTTAAAAATCTCTAAAACAAAATTAACCACAATTAGAAATTGGTTGAAAGCCTGGGAATTGTGCAAAAACAAAAACAGTTTATTTTCATTCACTCACAGTTGAAGCTCAATTTATGCAATTCATGCAATTGCAATTGTTTGTTGTTTTACTCACCCTCAGACTTTCTACTTGGACTCCGTCATCGTTGTACGTGATCTCGTAATGATACTCTACATACGGGATTCGGTAGCATCCCTCCATTAGTTTGCACTGGGCCACCGTTTGGATCAGCTCCACTTTGTTTGGAGTTTCAATGAGGGTGGAATCAAACTTAGTCGGTACACATGAAAATCCCTCTGTAGGCATTAAGAAAATTAAAAAAGTATCATAATGCATTTAATATTGCATAAATTTAGAGGCATATCAGTAATTATTTGCTACTTAAGCTACTAGTTTCTTTCCTGTAACCAACAGGATTGATCATTAGGGATATATTCTAGTGCACACTGATTATAGAGGGAATTTTACTCACCCTCAGACTTTCTACTTGGACTCCGTCATCGTTGTACGTGATCTCGTAATGATACTCTACATACGGGATTCGGTAGCATCCCTCCATTAGTTTGCACTGGGCCACCGTTTGGATCAGCTCCACTTTGTTTGGAGTTTCAATGAGGGTGGAATCAAACTTAGTCGGTACACATGAAAATCCCTCTGTAGGCATTAAGAAAATTAAATCATAATGCATTTAATATTGCATAAATTTAGAGGCATATCAGTAATTATTTGCTACTTAAGCTACTAGTTTCTTTCCTGTAACCAACAGGATTGATCATTAGGGATATATTCTAGTGCACACTGATTATAGAGGGAATTTTATTTCGTTTTCTCTTACCTGGTGCCCCTTTCGACCCGACACATTTGCCTGCATCTATGACGCTTTCGTACGGAGTCTCAGAGTGGTATGTTTTCAGAGATGGCGCTCGGACACACCGGCTCATTTTGGCTTCGCAGTGACAGTCCTCGATGATCTCGACCTCCCGTAGACCTTCATACAGCATCACGCGGTCCACACGCACCCCGGCCGGCTCGCAGGTGGAGCTCAGTCCACAGGACGGGGAACCGCTGATGGGCGCTGCAGCTCCAGAGGAGGAGGATGGATCCAGATGCCTCATCTACAGTGGTTATGGGGAAAAAAATATTAAGTTGGGCTTCTAAGGTGTATGAATAACCAATTGTTGTGGATACTTACATTAAAATGTAAAAGTTTGACTTAATAAAATTCTTTTTTTTCTTTTTTAAATATATAATGTATCATTTATATGTAAATATATAATGTATTATTATTAATTTATCTTTATTTAAATTATATACATATATATATATAAATATTAATAATTAAAAAACTACTAAAATTGTAATTATAAAAATATAATGCATATTTTATGCATTGACAATTAATCTATAACATTATTTTTAATATTATTTAATTAAATGAAAAATTATTAATGTAAAATCACTTCACTCTTAAAAAGTAGTTGCTTGCTCTCTACACTCAAAAAAGCATTAACTAAATGAATGGATGTGAATGTGAATATTTATATGTACTGGAGGAAAGTAAATATATATATACACACAATATACAATTTATACAATTATATACAATTTCCTATTGTAATTATATATTTCAAATATATAATATCTAACTATCCCTTTCTCTTTATTTTATATAAATATATAATGTATAATTTATACATAAGTATATAATTTATTAATATAATATTAAATAATTTATTATAATTACAACTATATAATTTATAATAATAGAAAATATTTAGATATAATAAATAATTTAAACATAGCTCAAAAAAAAATTTGTTAAAAATATTTTGCATGTTTGTTTTTATTTCGAGAAATGTCTCCATCTTGTGGTCAGCAGTAGAATTTTTTTTTACCTTTTTGTGTCGCAGGAAATCAAGCACTGAGGGATGTTTAGAGCTCATTAACCCCGCCTCCAATGACGTAGAACGCGCTGATTGGCCACAATGCGTTCTGCACACACCCACATCAGCATTCACAGGACTGCCAGAAATATCTGTTACATAAAAAGAAAAAAAATTAAGTGACTGATAGTCATTAAAACAAATGATTGCTCCAGACTACTGAAAATGTGTTTCTATTTGTATTTATATAAAAGAACTAAAGCAAACCTTTGCCAATGTAGATGATGTGGCTCTGGCGTCTGCAGCAGGCTCTCTCTGTGAACAGGTTTCTGGACTCTGTGTTTTTACCTAAAACAGCTGTGACTAAATGACACAAATATGCAAATAAAGTGATATTAGGTCAAAATTGAATTAAGACTGGGGCAAAGCATAATTTGCATCAATGAAATGCAATGAAATTGTTCTAATATAGAGATAAAGACTGCATGTGACCAGGGATATCATTAACAAAAGTTACTTGAGATACAATAAATGTCAACTGAAATAAAATTAAATATAAAGAACACTTATTGTTTTATGCTTATTTTATTTCAGCTAGTGGTCAAGGCAAGATTTCTAATTTTTTGTCTAGTTTAAGTACTAAAATAACTCAAATTAAAACAGAAATAAAAAATGAATAAAAACACGTAGTCTATTTAAAAAACAAACAAATTAAAAATGACAAATAACAACTAATTCAAAATATAATTTTAATTCAGTTTAATTACTAAAACTTAAAATGGAATAATAGAAATGACATAGACGTGTTTTTAAAAAATGAATAAAAATGACAAAAAACACAACAAAACTACTAAAACTTTGTCAAATTCAAATGAAAAATATAAAAATAAGAACTTATCCAAAATATTATTTTTATTTAGTTTAATCTGAAATAAAATGAATAAAAACTATACAGACATACAGTATAAAAACAAAAAAACAAATGACAAAAACACAACAAAACTTTAGTTAGGAAATATAAAAATAAACACTAATTCAAAACATTATTAAAGCTATAATAGCATGATTCCAAAATAAAATAAATAAATAAAAATAAATATTATCTGTCATAAATTACTGTGACAGTACCATGGTATCAGATGCCACATGAAACAGCATGACGGTGAATTATTACCATATTCATATACCATATTGTATCAAAAAGGTACTGCAAAAATGTCATACAGTACATACAGTATCTTATCAAATCGCCATAAATGTCATTTTAACTGTTTACATTTCAAAAGCGTCATATTTTATCAATCACATGACAGATTACATTCACATATATTACATTCAAAAACAGATTATACTGTAGTCACATGCTCTATTAAATCAAGATGATCTTGTATTACAACACATCTGATAAAACACTCACAGGTCTGATGGACGGCGCAGAGCAGAAGAAACACAAGCAGCGGCAGTAAATCCATAGTAATGTTCCTCACACACACTGTGCCTTAAGTCCTGCTCCTCTGGGATATTTATACCTGCATGGGTTAAGTGAGTGGGAGAGAACTGATCACATTTCCATGACTCTAATGCCTGCTGTTAGGAGGCCAGCAGATCAAAGAGCATCTCTTCCACACCTCTTCAGCTCTTCAGCTCTGTCGTGTGTGCTGTCAGACCCATCCTTTCACTAATTAAGTACTTAAGGGACTTTGAGCCACTAAGCGGCCCTCATTCAAAGGTATTAATCATCTTTTATCTCAGGGGGAAGGTGTTTAGCACCTCCACTTAAAACAAAACTGGCTAAAAGCAAGTAAACGGGCCCCTGCCCCCTGTCGAGAGGGCCTTTGTGTTTATTCTACAACAGGACAAATGGTGCGTGGGAGTCTGTTGAAAGTGTAAGACTGTCTTTTCCCTTTACTCTGAATATTTTCATGTTTATTAAAGATTAAAAGTTTATTAAAGCCCCAACTTTTATTGTAAGTTGTGGAAAACATCAGAAAATGGTCTTTTTGGTGTCTGTCTATCTGTGTAAATGGTTAGATCTACCTGTCTATCGATCTCAAATTAAAATATTTATTTTATATAAATACATAATGTATAATTTATAAATAAATATATAATATATATACATATATCATTATTTTCCTGTTGTAATTATATGTGACCCTGGAGCACAAAAGCAGTGTTAAGTCGCTGGGGGATATTTGTAGCAATAGCCAACAATACATTGTATGGGTCAAAATTATAGATTTTTCTTTTATGCCAAAAATCATTAGGATATTCATATTCATATATGTTCCTTGAAGATATTTTGTAAATTTCCTACTGTAAAAAATTCAAAACTTAAATTTTGATTAGTAATATGCATTGCTAAGAACTTCATTTGGACAACTTTAAAGATGATTTTCTCAATATTTAGATTTTTTTGCACCCTCAGATTCCAGATTTTCAAATAGTTGTATCTCGACCAAATATTGTCCCATCCTAACAAACCACACATCAATAGAAAGCTTATTTATTCAGCTTTAATGTGATGTATAAATCTCAATTTCGAAAAATTGACCTTTATGACTGGTTTTGTGCTCCAGGGTAACATATATTCAAATATATAATATCTAACTATCCCCTTCTCTTTATTTTATATAAATATACAATGTATAATTTATACATAAGTATATAATTTATTAATATAATATTAAATAATCTATTATAATTACAACTATATAATTTAAAATAATATAAAATATTTAGATATAATAAATAATTTAAATACAGCTCAAAAATTGTAAAAAAAAAAAAATCCACTTCCTCGAAAACATATCTCAATGTAAAAAGTAGTTTGCAGGAACTCCATTTTTAACCTTTCAATTATTTATTTGGGATGGTAAATTTTTGCAGGCTGTATACTTATTTATAGCATTGTGTATTTTTTGTGATTTGTCAGAAATTGTCTTAAATTTGTCAAAGTGTGCTAATGTTTAATTAGCTCTCTACAATTATTTATTTGGGATTGCAGTATTTTGTCAAGTATTTGCATATCTATCTATCTGTCTATCTATCTATCTATCTATCTATCTATCTATCTATCTATCTATCTATCTATCTATCTATCTATCTGCTATTAAAATGTTAATTGAACACATTATTAGAAAATATAAATCATCAAAAGTGTGAATCCATCAACTGCTCATTTTCCTGTGAAATTTTACTAACACACATTTCAATCTTAGCTCTATTGTATTATTATATTAGTTGATGTTGCATTTCCTACATTGTATGCCTCTATGTGTATTGGGTGTGTTTCTCCGCTCTGATGTTTCCTCCTCTTGAGCCGTTTTCACCTCAGTCATTATAATCACTAAATAGGTTACACCTCGCACTACAAAGACCAATGCCTGCAATACCGCCGCTGATTAACCTACTAATCTAGTCAAAGAATCTCCTAAATCACAACCAATCAGTCATGATTAGCTTTCCACTAGCATACTGTTTGCTGTGCTGTTTTCATCCGTTTGATACGTAAGAGAAGTTTCAGACACATGCAACAGTATATGTGAATATGGAATGAGCTGGTTTGGTCTCAAAAGCAGCCATTTTCCACGATAATGCATTGAAAGAGATCCGGGACCCTCCTCCACATGAAGCATATGAATTGAGGGAAAGTTTCAGAGAAAAGCAGAGATGAATGAAGCTCAGATGCTGGGGCCCTCCGTTTCTCCAGACCTCATGAAAGAGCACTGCTTCAACAATAACGCTAGCAGTGTAGGATTTCTCTCACAGGTGCAGAAGAGAGAAACTCACATTTACACCAGAGAGTTTATCAGAAGTAAAGTTAAACAAACTAAAGTGCTTTACAAATAAAAGAGATTGGACTGACTTCAGAAGAACTAAAGTTTCTACACTTTTCAAACAGGTTTTTGTATTTTGAAATTTCATATGACATTATGTCACAAAACAAGTTATTGTTTTCACTATGACCCAGGTCTACGGTAGTTAATTTTATGATTTTATTGATAAAATATTATATGAATTAAGGAGCTAATTATTTTTTATTATAATCCAATACGTGATACTGATGTGCTTTTGCCTCAATGGACTTGTAATTGGCAATATACACACAAACACATACACTCACACACACACACACACACACACACACACAAGCACACACACACACACACACACACACACACACACACACACACACACACACACTTTGCTTAAAGACACTAACTTGATGAGATTCATACTTTGCTTTAATAAAAAGAATATTGATTACATTCTTAATATAAAAATATAAAATAGAATTGAATTTTTCCCCATCTTTTTCTGATTCTTCTTTGGTGCATCAGATGGCAAAATTATTTTATGCTGACATTTCAGTTGTATTTTCAGTGTTTCAACAAAAGTGATTTAGAACCAACACCACACTAACATTGATCAAACGATATTACCAATTATATATTTTTGTTAATTTAAAAATTGATTTAACAGCAGTGATTTAGAACCAACATCACACTAACATTGATTCAACAATATTACCATTGATTATTTTTTGAGCAGCAGTGATGTATTATCAATCATAGTGTAATGTTAATTCAATGGATTTATTTTTTGTTGAAATCTCACCGTTATTTCAATTGCGGGTGCAAAAGTGATGTTGAACCAACAAAACTTTGTAACATTAATTCAATGCAGTTCAACGCATACACATTGACTTAACATTGTTTCAATAGTTGCTTGCTATCTGGGTTCATATACTGTATATATATATAATTTTAAATGATTATTATACTTATATTTTGAAATTTTGAATATTTCATTGTTGTTTACTGCTGTCATCACCACTGTTGTTTATGAGTCATCTAAAAAAAAAAATGTTTATCTAGAATTTTTATGTTCTTATAAACGTGAACGTCTACCTGCCGTGACTCCTCCTCTGTAGGCAGAATGAACTGCAGAGGATCAGATCACTCTCTCTGTGACAGACAGACATCAGACAGACAGACAGACTCGTCTAGTTCCCTCTGATGCCAGACGTCTGGTCCTGGATTCTGGCTGTCTGTTTATCCTTCGGTCTGGAGGCGCTCAAGGAGACGTCCTATTACAACCATCAGACAAAAAATAAGTCTTGTATAATTAGGTCACATTATGCCATCATAGGCAAGTAACCTCTAGACTGCCCATTCATGTGCAAGAAGAGTACTGGACAAACAGATTAAAATAATAATCTACTAGTGGTGTTCTCACCCCAGTAACCATGCAGAAAGCCACAGAAAACATCTACAAACAACTTAGAGCTCCCTGGCAACCACTTAGAACACACTATCAACTGCACAGAAACGCCCTAGCAACCACCTAGTTATAGCACACATTAGCAACCATGCAGAAATCCATAGCAACCACCCTGACACAACTTTAGCAGCCACTAAGAACACTCAGTAACTGCATAGCAACACCCTAGCAACCACCTAACAATGTTGTAGCAACCACTCAAAACACCATAGCAACCATGCAGAAAACCATGGCAACCACCTTGACAACTTAGAACACCCTAGCAACCACTTAGATCACACAGCAACTGCACAGCAACACCCTAGCAACCACCTAACAATGTTGTACCAACCACTCAAAACACCATAGCAACCATGGCAACCACCTTGACAACTTAGAACACTCTAGCAATCACTTAGATCACACAGCAACTGTATAGCAACACCCTAGCAACCACCTAACAATGTAAGCAACCACTCAAAACACCATTGAAAACTATGCGGAAAACCATGGTAACCACCATGAAAGAACTTACAACACTCCAGCAACCACTTGACACTCAGTGACTGCATAGCAACGCCCTAGCAACCACATAGCAACACAAAATTGGAGCCAGACACACAAACCTAAATTCTGCTTGCATGTGGAGTGAGTGACAGACAGCTGGACGCTGTAATCCCGCGGCAGAAGGGGTCAGTGGTGAGTCACCTGTCTGTAGGTGAGTGTGTGAGACAGGATTACACACGCATGAACCAGCAGCGCAGAGAGAGACAGCGGCACTCTGTGTGACCGGAGCAAGCAGACCACGTGTGTCTCGATGGAAGATTCTAGTTCATTGAGATGAACGTTAATAAATAATACTCGCCTGATTGAATAAGACTGGTCTTCATTGGTCTTCACTGGATTGAATAAGACTGGATCTTAAGGACCTTAGGCAACCAGAAGGAGAAACCAGAAGACGTAGAGGATGTTTTTATGTATGACGAGCGGCACTTTACCACTAAAGACTGAGAAAAAAGGGAAAGGACAGGTTCTGTGTGAGTTTGAAAACACAATTTAATATCCTGAATGATCAAAGATGACAATGTTATTGCTCATATGTTGCTCCTTCATATAGCTCTGGAAACTTTAAGAAGATCTCAGATGTTCTCCTAAGTAGAAATAATAAGAATAAAAGTCATGAAGACAGTTTCGGTCTTTATAAATGTGTATCCTTTATCTCAGATAATTCGGACTAGAAAGCTTTTGATAAGAAATGTTTGAGTTCATATTGAAATCTCCACAAAGGCTCTCCATAACTGGATTTTTTTCCTCCTAGACAACAACGAATATGAGATTAAAAGGAGACATTTTCTGAAGTCTCTTTTATCTCAAGTGTTTCTCTTGAGAAAAAGGCCCTAGTAATCTCCTTACGAGATTCAGAAGACATCTAAAACATATCTCAATAAGAACAACTCTACATGAAGAGAACGTTTCTCCAAAGTTCTCCAAAGAACTGTATGACAGCTATTGACTAGTTGTATTTCTCATATGGAATTTTAAGAGAAACATCTGAGACAAAGTTGACACTTAAATGTCCTTTCTCACTGAGAAAAACGGATGAGCACAGATTCTGTGCGAGTTTGAAAACACATTTTAAATCCAGAATGATCTTATTTGAGTTTTTATGTCAACAAGGACAATGTTATTGCTCAGATTTTGCTCTTTCATAACTCATGACACTTTATGGAGTTCTCAGATGTTCTCCTGAGATTTCTTAGTAGATATAACTAAAGAAGGCATGGAAAAGACATTTAAATCTATTGTGTATAGCATCACTAAGGATATTTGGATGTCTGATGAGAAATGTTTGAGTTCATACTGAGATCTTCCCATTGGCTCCCCATATATTATGAGCAATTATGAGATTAAATGGACACTTTTGCTGAAGCACCTTCATTGCAGGTGTTTCTCTTAAGAAATAAACCCCAGTAATCTACTTACAAGATTCAGAAGAGATCTCAAAAATATCTCAGTATGAACTTAAACGATTCGTATGTAGTTCTCCATAGAATTTTATGAAACAATTGTATGTCCTAAATGGTCTTATTTGAGTTTTAGGACAAAGAAGAAAATGTTAAAATGTTGTTCAAACGTTGCTCTTTTGTAGCTCAGGAAACTGTGGAGTTCTTAGATGTTCTTTTAAGACTCCTTAGTAGAAATAAGATTAAAAGACATGAAAAAGACAATGTAGATGCTTTATAAATGTGAATAGCATAACTCTGATTATTTAGACAAGGAAGCATTTAATGAGAAATATCTTAGATCTTCCCATAACCACGTGTGTCTCGATGGAAGATTCTAGTTCATTGAGATGAACGTTAATAAATAATACTCGCCTGATTGAATAAGACTGGTCTTCATTGGTCTTCACTGGATTGAATAAGACTGGATCTTAAGGACCTTAGGCAACCAGAAGGAGAAACCAGAAGACGTAGAGGATGTTTTTATGTATGACGAGCGGCACTTTACCACTAAAGACTGAGAAAAAAGGGAAAGGACAGGTTCTGTGTGAGTTTGAAAACACAATTTAATATCCTGAATGATCAAAGATGACAATGTTATTGCTCATATGTTGCTCCTTCATATAGCTCTGGAAACTTTAAGAAGATCTCAGATGTTCTCCTAAGTAGAAATAATAAGAATAAAAGGCATGAAGACAGTTTCGGTCTTTATAAATGTGTATACTATATCTCAGATAATTCGGACTAGAAAGCTTTTGATAAGAAATGTTTGAGTTCATATTGAAATCTTCACAAAGGCTCTCCATAACTGGATTTTTTCCTCCTAGACAACAACGAATATGAGATTAAAAGGAGACATTTTCTGAAGTCTCTTTTATCTCAAGTGTTTCTCTTGAGAAAAAGACCCTAGTAATCTCCTTACGAGATTCAGAAGACATCTAAAACATATCTCAATAAGAACAACTCTACATGAAGAGAACGTTTCTCCAAAGTTCTCCAAAGAACTGTATGACAGCTATTGACTAGTTGTATTTCTCATATGGAATTTTAAGAGAAACATCTGAGACAAAGTTGACACTTAAATGTCCTTTCTCACTGAGAAAAACAGATGAGCACAGATTCTGTGCGAGTTTGAAAACACATTTTAAATCCAGAATGATCTTATTTGAGTTTTTATGTCAACAAGGACAATGTTATTGCTCAGATTTTGCTCTTTCATAACTCATGACACTTTATGGAGTTCTCAGATGTTCTCCTGAGATTTCTTAGTAGATATAACTAAAGAAGGCATGGAAAAGACATTTAAATCTATTGTGTATAGCATCACTAAGGATATTTGGATGTCTGATGAGAAATGTTTGAGTTCATACTGAGATCTTCCCATTGGCTCCCCATATATTATGAGCAATTATGAGATTAAATGGACACTTTTGCTGAAGCACCTTCATTGCAGGTGTTTCTCTTAAGAAATAAACCCCAGTAATCTACTTACAAGATTCAGAAGAGATCTCAAAAATATCTCAGTATGAACTTAAACGATTCGTATGTAGTTCTCCATAGAATTTTATGAAACAATTGTATGTCCTAAATGGTCTTATTTGAGTTTTAGGACAAAGAAGAAAATGTTAAAATGTTGTTCAAACGTTGCTCTTTTGTAGCTCAGGAAACTGTGGAGTTCTTAGATGTTCTTTTAAGACTCCTTAGTAGAAATAAGATTAAAAGACATGAAAAAGACAATGTAGATGCTTTATAAATGTGAATAGCATAACTCTGATTATTTAGACAAGGAAGCATTTAATGAGAAATATCTTAGATCTTCCCATAGGCAAGAAAATCTCACATTAGATCTCTTTAATATCTGGATTTTTTCCCACCTAGACAACGATTATGAGATCAAATGGGGACTTTTGCTTCATCTCAGGTGTTTCTCTTGAGAAAAAGACCAGAGTAATCGCAGAAGAGATCTCAAAAATATCTCAAACTGTGCTCAGATCTCAATATGAACTCTTATATAGTTCTGCCAAGAACTGTAGGACAGCTGTTGACTGATTTCTGTCTGTTTTTATTTCTCACAAGGAATTTTAGGAGAAACATCAGAGACAAAGCTTAGGTAAATGAAACATAATTGAGAACCGGAAAATCTCCTAAGCTATGAAAAAAATGAAACACAAAGGGTCTGAGCACAGTTTGAGACACTGAGATCTCTTCTGAAACTCTAAAGGAGATGCATGAGGTGAGACTACCGGGGTCTTTTTCTCAGGAGAAACATCTAAAGAAGAAGGAGACTAGTAAAAATTCTCCATTTAACCTCATTGCTGTCTATGAGGAGCAATTGAGATATTAATGAGATCTCTTTTTTTCTACAGGGCAGGTGGCCCAGCAAACAATGCCGTCTCGCCACAAAGAGCTTGTGCCTCAGTCGGCCTGGATGGAGGTCGATAAAACCACGGAGGAGAAGACGAGCAGTCAAGCACTGGACAGAAAACCTGCAGTTGAGAGCCCGGAGGTCAGCGTGAAGCAGACGCCTTTCGCAAGAGCCGTCTATGACCTCGGCCACAAGGAGAAGCTTGTCAATGACCTCACCTTCGGCAAATGGATTGGCTTTTACGAGCTTCACGGTGAAATAGGCAGCGGAAACTTCTCTCAGGTCAAACTCGGCATTCACGATCTGACCAATGGTGAGAGACACTTTCTTTGTTCTTTTAAGTCATTTAAAATGTCGGAGTGTTGCTGCATTCAATGCAAAATACCTAAACCTCCCTTCAGATTTTCTTTTGTTGTGAATGGTAATCGAACATGTGTTCATCACGTCATTTGTCCAGACAAATCTGGGTTAATCCAGAAGATTATAGTTAATCTTCATCAGGATGTGTTCATTTCTATAAACCCCCCTGGAGACCCACCTTGATGTCCTGTATAACCCGTCCTGTCACCATATGAATGTTACCTTTTCAGAAACAAAACAGTGTAGAAGGTAAAAGGGTGGTCAAATCATTTCATTTTTTATTAATATTTTTTTATGATTTTTGTTTTGTTTCAGAAGTGCATTTGTGTCAGTGCTCAGTGCTCATTTTTGTGCCCAAATCTATTCATTGAAAAAAAGAAATTAAAATTAAAATTAAAAAAACTATTCCATGCAATACACATCTTCTATGATGAATGCGCTAAAAGTTTCCTAATTAAGTTGGCTTGACCAGCTAAGACTAGACAACCAGCCTAGCAAAAAAAAAAAAACTGGTTTTAAGCATTTTTTTTTTATATAAATCAGATGGTTTTAGCTGATTTTAATAGGTTTTTTGCTGGGGGTTTTTCTAAATCAGATGGTTTTAGCTGGTTTTTAGCCAGATTTTTTTGCATTCACGTTAGCTATATGTTAAATCACAGTAAAACATGCTAGCAATAAGCTATAAATAAGAAATGTTGCCTTGGCAACTAGCTGAAATTTTTTTTTTTATAGTTTATTTCAAGTAATACGTTTTTTAATGGTTTTAATGTTGGATTTAAATTTAGTTAACTATAATAACCTTGGTTCACTCCAGATAACATTCTTATATAAATCAAGAATGTATGAAACGTGCAAAACTACATTTTTAAACAATCTGCCTTACTATAACTGACCCATGTGACATTGGCGTGCATTTACTCCCCTTTCACTCCTCTCTCTCAGAAAGGGTAGCTGTTAAGATCCTGGATAAGTTGTGTTTGGACAAGCGCTCGCAGAGGTTGTTCTCGTCTGAGATACGCTGCATGGAAAGACTGTCCCACCCCAACATCGTGCGTCTGTATGAGGTGGTGGACACGTTTCGCAGGCTTCATCTGGTGATGGAGTACGCGCCTGGAGGAGAGCTGTTCTCCAGGATCGTCACCAGAGGACGCCTGTCTGATCTGGAGAGTAAACTGGTCTTCTCTCAGATACTGTCTGCTGTCAAACACATGGTGAGCCACAGTGTTATTGGTTTTGGGAGGCATAAATGTAAATGGCGGTGTAATCATTTTTGCATTTCTTTTTCAAATACGTTTAACCCTTAAAATGTTCGATTTTTAGCACTCAAGTGTTTTCAATGTATAAGGAAAATATATGAATTTTTACACCACTTGACATTTTTATAGTCATTAATTCTTTATTTGCTACTACCTTATCTTCACTTTTAGCAGTCTGATAAAATAATGAGTCAAACGTGTTAAATATAACAGCTGACATGACTTGCTGTTCATTCTACTGGAAATGGAAACTCAAGGCAAGTGCATTACATTGTGCTGCACAAATGCACACAAGTACTGCATGCATACAGACAATCCACATACTGCATACTGTAATCAGTTAGCATTTCATGCAAATATCTAAAAAAATATATATGTGTTTTACCTTTAGCATGACAACAACATCATCCACCGGGACCTGAAGGCTGAAAACGTCTTCTACACCACCACATACTGCATCAAAGTGGGTGACTTTGGCTTCAGTGCTGAATGCAAACCCACCGACATCCTCACCACCTTCTGCGGCTCTCCGCCCTACGCCGCCCCTGAACTCTTTCGGGACGAGGGTTACATCGGACCGCTGGTGGACATTTGGGCTCTGGGCGTGCTGCTGTACTTCATGGTGACGGCCACGTTCCCCTTTACCGGCTCGAGTCTGAGACGACTGCGCTTCTGCATCCTCAGAGGATCCTACGCCTTTCCTGCGTTCGTGCCTGACGCCTGTCAGTATGTGATTAAGGGCGCGTTGAGGCTGGTTCCGGCTGACCGGATATCCCTGGCGCAAATCATGTCCAGCGCGTGGTTGAGGGGAGTCGAGTATCCGCAGCCGTACGCACCTGCTCCTCCCACACCTGCGCACCTGGCCGACCCCTCACGGACGCTCTCCGCCGACGAGCGCTCGGTCAAACTCGCCCTCGAGGAGCTGGGAATCACCGAGATTCATCTCAGGAACAACATGGTGTTGGATTGCCGAAGCCCGCTGACCGGGATCTACCGGATTCTTCTGCACCGAATCCAGAGGAGCAGATCCGTAGAGTCTGCGGGATACACGGCGCTCTGTCCCGCCAACACCCGTCCCGGGAGGAGGTGCTGGTCTCACCCTACGACCGTGCACAGAAAACAAGCGCAGTCCGCCGTCTGTGCCATCTTATAGACAGCATACAGCCATACAGAAAGAAATACGATTGATTGCTCTTTCTGTGCAATTTTTTGGATTTTTTTTTATTATTTAATGTGTTTAAGTGTTGATAAATTGCATGCCAAGCTTAATTAAATCATTTTAATTAGCGCAGACGCACGGTTGATTTTTAACGCTTAATTTTACAAGCCTTATGCTACAAATAGGCCTATTCACTTTTTCAGTTATCGGTCATTTGCTGTAAAACTTTAGTACTTGATAAATAAATATTCCATAAATCTTATTACTTTAGCATTTATGGATTATTTCAGCTGAAATTGAATTAACGATATTTAATCACTTGAAAAAGGAAAAAATATAGGCTAACTCGGCACACAATATTTTTTTATTAATACAATGCATGTATTATCTATTAATATGTCAACTAATAAGAAAATATTTTATATTTATATTCATAAAAATAGTTGTTAAAAGTTATGTGTTGATAAATTGCATGCCAAGCTTAATTAAATCATTTTAATTAGCGCAGACGCACGGTTGATTTTTAACGCTTAATTTTACAAGCCTTATGCTACAAATAGGCCTATTCACTTTTTCAGTTATCGGTCATTTGCTGTAAAACTTTAGTACTTGATAAATAAATATTCCATAAATCTTATTACCTTAGCATTTATGGATTATTTCAGATGAAATTGAATTAACGATATTTAATCACTTGAAAAAGGGAAAAATATAGGCTAACTCGGCACACAATATTTTTTTATTAATACAATGCATGTATTATCTATTAATATGCCAACTAATAAGAAAATATTTTATATTTAAAAAGTTTGTTTTCATTACAAGGTGCATATTTGAGCAGTATGACGTCATATTGCTCAGAAAATCTGCTTGATAATTGCTTAGGTTTTTCTGGGATTAAAAAAAAAGTATATGGATTTTTATCATTGTAGGGTGGTTGTGTCAACACCCTGCTAAGCCACATTTATATGCAAACACCATGTTTAAAAGTGAATTTTACATCCAATGTCCAATCAGTGTTGTTATTGGTAACTAAAACTAAAACTATTAAAAATATTTCCAGTAAAAATGTAATCTCAAATAAAAATACATATACATATTAGATGAAAAGCTTAAACTTAAAACACGTTAACAAAAAAATAATAATAATATTGTTGCTTTGGCGACTGACTGAAATAAAATTACATAAATACAATTACTAAAACTAAAATAAAAATGAATTAATAAATGAAAATATATATATAAAAAAGCTCATTTAAAACACTGACGTTGGCAGCCAAATGGCTCCCATTTTGTATAACATTTTGTAAAAGCTATTTTAATATGAGATATACAGTACACATAAACACACCGACTTTATTTGATTGTCAAGTATACTCTCTTATAGAGTGCTCATTGTCAGGGTCATGTTCTCTTTATATTTGGTTTTCAGTGCTCCTGTTTTTTCCTGTGCTCCCAGTTAAATGAGTTCCCTATAGTTAGTCTCCTTGGTTGTTAATTAGTTCCATGCACCTGTTTCAGTTTGGTAATCATGTATTTACACCCTACGTTTCCCCAGTTCCTTTGTCTGTTTCGTCTTAGTTGGTGTTTGTGTTTTCGGTAACACTTTACTTGAAGGGGTGTGCATAAGACTGACATGGCACCTTCATAATCATGACATGACACATGTCATGAATATGAAGGTTTTTATGCATGTTTATGACAAATGTCATTAATTGTCATTCACTCAGTTATGTCATTTTTATTGCAAATATGACATTATTTGACCTAACCCTAACCTAACCCTACCCCTACCCTTACCCGTAACCATAGCCCATAACAAAGACATCTCAAACAATGTCATCTTTGCATTAAAAATTACATAACTGAGCGAATGACACTTAATGACAGTTGTCATAAACATGCATAAAAACCGTCATATTCATGACATTACATTACACTCACCTACATGTGACACACATATTGAACTCTTATGTATTGATCAATATACGATCATTAAATTCCTGAGTAATAAAGTTTAAAGCAGTAATGCCACTGCATTGAAAGCCTTTAGAAGGTGTTTCTGTGAACATTCATTTTAAATGATTAGTGGCGGTTGCTATGGTCAAGCAAGAACTTATTACTGACAAAAAGTTCCCATTGATTGTTATTTATATGCCTGAGGGATGAAACGAGAGTTAAATTCAACAAGAAAAAGAGGAAAACAAATTAGGTTTAAGCCAGTTTTGCTTGTGGGTGAAACATTTTGCACATAAAATAAAGAAATTAACAACATATTCAACGATTTTGGGTTTTTGTAATAAATAAAAAAAATCTTTAAGGATAAAACTGTGGGTCACATTAGTAGGGTTAAAAATATAAGAACTTGAATCAACCCAAAATGTAGTGGTTATACTACAATCACTAAATAAATGGGCAGCTGTGTCTTTAGCAAGACCACAAAATGAGCAAATTTCATCAACATCCAAATATTTACAGATAGAGGAAAGCTTCTTTTTCTTACAGTCTTCTCCCCCTTTTTAAAGTGTATAAGGGATGTTTAAAAAATGCTTTTCTTAGTGAGTATTTTACTTAAAACAAGAAAAATAATCTTAATGCAAATGGAAACAAGATTATTTGTCTTACCCCATTGGCAGATCATTTGCAAAATAAGAAAAATACACTTAAAAGACTAAATACCTTATGTCATTTTTCTTATAGAAAATGCATCTTGATTTAAGAATCAAGTGGCCATGTGTTTATACTTCATGTTTAGCTGATTTTTTTTTGTCTTTTTAATAATTTTTTGGTTGTTGCTTTTTCTTTTGCCTGTGGGATACCATTATGCGGACGTCTTTTTGTCGGGTGCTTTTGCCATGGTGAATCATAATTTCGCTCCATTGATCATGGTTTTTCATAATTGTGGAGCACGCACTAAACTCAAGAGTCAACCTACTCAGAGTCGATTGAACTAACTCAGTTCAGCTGTTCTGAACCCGAAAAGTTTCCCATCTCAGGGTAAGTTCAAGTTCCAACTCAGAGTTGGCTGAACCTCAGAGTTGAAACGGGCCCCAGCAGGTAAACACCCACAACACCCGAGCATTACTGTGCAAACAGCATGACTTATTCTTCTTTTAAGACTGGTGACAAGCAGCCGAGGGCACCAGAGACTGTTTGATGTCTATGCAGTGAAGTAGAGCTAACCCTGAAACAACATGCAGAACTACCAAATTTTGTTACGAGTTTGATTGCATCATAATAATTGGGGGGAAAATTATTAAAAATTAAAATTTATAATGGTCTAATTTGATCCATTAAAGTACTTTTTAAAAGAATAAAATTTTTGTGCCTTCAGAAAAATAATAGAACTGAATGTTTTACAGTTTAATGACATTAAAAGCCTTGTATTCAATAGCAAGACACTTGAGGTGTTTATTAAAATGTAATGCTGATATATTATTTTCAATGATCAGTTGAACTATGACAGGCTGATGTTTTAAGATATTTGCAAACATAAATCATAAGATAAAAAGCAGAGACAAAATGTTTATTTAATGTTTAGTTTTCAAAATGTGCATTTTATACAGGAAAGTACACAGGTCAAAAAGCATCCTTTTGATGAAAGAACGCAAAATGTTTAAAAATACAACCAAGAAAGTGATTTCTATAGTAGCATTGTAAGCAAAAACTGACATCAGTTATTCATTCTTGAACTCATTTTGCACCGGTGTATTTGAGGGACACAAGAATGGCACCTGAATGACCCGTCAGACACAATTTATGGGTTTTAATAGTTCATTTGTTGACAAAACAGTTTCATTGTGATTGCAGTCATTAACATGAAACGCTGTGATGAAGCAGTCAATGTCATCCTATCAAGACTTTCACACCCGCATTTGATTAATCATAATACAGCCGAACTCTGTGCCAAATTCTTTTCATTTTGATTCACTGTAATTTTATGAAAAATACAAGGCACTGAGAAGTATGAAAACATATGAGTCACGCTCGTCCTCTCTACTGTTTGATCAGTGGAGCCCTGCAGTGATACTGTACCGAAACACATCCATATTCTTTGCCTTGTTTTTAAACATGCCAAAAGCTCTGTGTAATTTCTTTATCAGCAAGTTTGGGAAGACAATTTGGGGACATTACGTACTTTTATTCAGCAAGGATGCATTCAATTGATTGAAAGCAGCCGTAAAGACATTTATAATATTACAAAAGATTCTATTTCAAATAAACAGTGTTCAACATTGATAATAAGAAATGTTTCTGGAGCAGCAAATCAGCATGATTTCTGAAGGATCATGTGACACTGAAGACTGAAGTAATGATGCTGAAAATTCTGCTTTGATTACAGCATGCAATTAATTATTTTACAATATATTCACATAGAAAACAGAACAAAATAAGGTCATTGCATACTATATGGCACATGCTGCATCCTGCTTCATGAGCACTGGTGATGCTGTCAATTGTGTTGAAACATTTTTAATTATTGATCATGAAGTCAATTATTATATTTCTGCTGCAAAATTGGTTAATTATGACATGCAAACCGGCATAAAATTAAAGGATTTTCTTATCAGATGATTATAGGTCTTGTCTTAAACTTAACAAACCGTTCCCCAAAGCAATTACTTTTATCATGTTTTAGCACAGCACATTTTTGGCATTTGAGATTGTGACCATATCTTGGAGTTTCCCAGATACTTTGCTTTCTAACAGCAAATGTTTTTACTGCGTTAAAATGTTACATTTATTGTGTTAAAAAGTCTATATGATTCATTTCAATTAATCAAAAGTCAGAGGGTGCATCTTACTTTCTTTTCTTTCTTTTTTTAAATAATTTTATTCTTTCTGTTTGCTTATAATGCAATTCCATTTAATGGAAAACGAAAGTCCAGTCATACTTCCCGATAACAAAGCACAATCATATCACTAAATTTCTAAATGTATTAATGACTCTACAGTAAGTCGCCAAGCCCTAAATTCATGCATCATGGTATCATGAGCTATCAATGGTAAGGTCATAGGTTCGATTCCCATTGGAATTGCATGAACTGATTAAATTTATACCTTAAATGCAATGACATTTATACATTTGGCACTCTTATCCACAGCAGCTTGCCTTACATGCGTTTAAGATAGGCTATGCATTTTATCAGTTCATGCGTTCCTTAGGAATCGAACCCATGACCTTGCACCTGGTTGAGCTACAAAAATGCAGTTTATGCATGTGTGCAATGTCAAAGCATTTTCCAAATGTAATTTAAAGTTTCTTGTAAGACCTGCAAATAACTTACATGCCACGTCAAAAATCGGCGTAATCTACTGCACTTGTGCAAACACTGTACAGCACCCTAACTAGCACGTTAAAGCCTCAATAAGGAGTTTAGAAAGTACTGTTATTGGACCCTTTCCACCAAAATGTTTCACCAACTTCTGAGACTAATCTCCTCATAGTTGACATGAGGTAAAGTGTGCTTGTGTATTCCTGCATGTTAAAGCTGAGCTCTAACATGTTCAGGACTGAATTGCCTTAAATAAAACTAAAATCGAATCCCTCTAAGCTATGCAAGCGTTCCTGAAACCACCAATAGCAACGATAACAGTTGTCTTGGATTAAAGAAACAATGGAAAAGTATGGAAATGCATTAAACTGAAAGAACTGTAGTTCCTTATAGGCACAATGAGCACTGCATGTTGTTTTTACATCTGTGGCCTCAATATATAACCTGACCCACATATATGGATGCTGTTTTCTTTCCTAATATTTTGCATTACTAGCTCTGAAAGGATGAGCTTATTGCGCACCTGAATTGGTTTTTATGCATTAGGAGATAATATTCACCTGAGGGCCCGATCACCTGTAGGGTTGGGCAGGATAGGCCTACTTAAAAGAACTATAGTAGAATAATAAATACTCTCTCCTACATGTAATCGTGACATTTTATCATATTACATTATTATTGTAGATTTCTTTGTAATAATCCATATTTTTTGCTCGCAGCCCAGGAAAAGTGGCTAGTTTACACCTAAAAAGGACAGCACTTTTGGTGTTCTGAAGACAATATTGTTTAGAGATGAAAAGTTCTTGCTTGCTCATAAAAAATAATTTTTGAAACCGATTACGCTGGTTGCATTGAATGTTTTTTGACTCTCTAAAAAGAACCAGCTCATAATAGTCGTTTGTTGCATATTGTGTTGTTAATTCACTAAAAAGAACGGGCTCATGAGAGTCATTTTTTAAACTGATTATGCTGGTGGCATTGAATGTTTTGACTAATTAAAAAAAAAAAAAAAAAACCCTGCTCTGCTCATTAGAATCGTTTCGCGTAGTAGCCTACTTATGTGGTCGATTCACTAAAAGATTCAATAAAAAGAACCGACTCAGAGTAATTTATTATGAATGTGACTGCTTGCACTGAATGTTTTTGACTTGGCTACTAAAACGAACTTACGGTGACCGAGAAGTGCAAAACAAATCACAATTCTGAAAACAAAATAACAAATTACAAACGCAAATGCAAGTCTAAAAAACAAAATAACAATTCAGAAAACAATATATCCATATATAACAAGTCAGAAAACACAATGACAAATTCGAAAACAAATTAACAAGTCAGAAAACACAATGACAAACCAGACAAACCGGAAGCGGTAGGTATAGTTTGAGACAGCGTCATTGGTTTGGGATTAGTCACCGCTGACTGGACGAAACATCTGTCAATCAACGTATACAGAGAAGAACCAGCCGAAGAACAGCAGAGTCGTGGTAGAAAGTTCGGAGATGGTATTAAAGTAGCTCAGTTTAAATGTATTGTATGAATTGCCCTTACTCTGGAATAAAAAATACGGGGTGTATATTTACATTTAGTTAAAAGTGTCTGAAAACATCAGCGCCAGTGGCGCAGTTGGATAAGTGCGTGTTGCTGGCTTTTTGACACAATCGACCCGGGTTCGATCCCACCTTTTGCCAAACTTTTTTTTCCTCCCTTTTCAAATCTCGTATTAGCAATGGATTCTATTTACACTAAGTGAAAATATATATTAATAAGTAAATATAAGTAAAATAGCAGAATTTCTAAGTATACTATCAAGTATACTACTTGTTGCAAATAGTGGCAATTATCTGCACTTCAGAATTGTAGTACATTATAAAACAGTATGCAATAATAACGTATTGAGTGTAAATTATAATTTTAATTTTAATTATTAAATGGATGCCACCTTATTGGTACAATAAAGCCCTCCCTACACCTACCCTAACCCTACCCCATACTTTATTTTCAACTTTTTGATTATTTCCTTAATATTTATTGAAAATAAATGCCTTTACGATGTGATAAGAGATTTGAAAAGGGAGGAAAAAAAAGTTTGTCAAAAGGCTGGATCGAACCCAGGTCAATCGCGTCAAAAAGCCAACAACACACACTTATCCAACTGCACCATTGGAGCTGATATTTTGCATCCACTTTTAACTAAATGTAAATATACACTCCGTATTTTTTCTTCCATAGTAAAGGCAATTCATACAATACATTTAAACTGAGCTACTTTAATACCATCTTCAGAACTTTCTACCACGACTCTGCTGTTCTTCGGCTGGTTCTTCTCTGTATACGTTGATTGACAGATGTCTCGTCCAGTCAGCGGTGACTAATCCCAAACCAATGGCGCTGTCTCAAACTATACCTACCGCTTCCGGTTTGTCGTTGTGTTTTCTGACTTGTTCATTTGTTTTCGGATTTGTCATTGTGTTTTCTGACTTGCTATAATGTTTTCTGAATTGTTGTTGTGCTTTCTGAATTGTTATTTAGTTTTTTAGACTTGCATTTGCGTTTGTAATTTGTTATTTTGTTTTCAGAATTGTGATTTGCTTTGCACTTCTCGGTCACCATAAGAACTGGTATAAGAGTCAATTGTTCATTAATTGAACAAGTCGTGAAGTAGGCCTACCTATGTTAATTAACTAAAATAAACCAATTTATCAGTCATTTTTTATGAACTGCACTATGCTGGTTCCACTGTATGTTTTTTGACTCACTAAAAAAACTTGCTCATAAGAGTAGTTTGTTCCTGAATCGAACTACTAGTTGCGAAATACAATAGGCCTACTTATGTTGTTGAGTCACTAAAAGATCCGACTCATTATAGTAATTTGTTATGAATGGGACTACGCTGGTTGCGCTGAATGATTTTGACTCACTAAAAAGAACCGGCTCATGAGAAAAAGTACTAAAACTACAAAAAGTACTAAAAACAACTAAAAGGTAGGCTAAAGATTTACTCATGTGTAATGCTTCAGTCCTCAGGCTTTACGCTCCTCACACAGGAAAAGATTAAAAGAAAGATAAAAAGAACTATTTTCCTCAGTCACATCATTACCAGTGTAAATTATGTTTTTATGGCCTCCACATCTCGTTTTCGACATTTGAAGTATAGAAACCCAACCTTTCTGCAGGATATTTTTGCCTCGAGGCCAGAATGAACTATTTATGAAACAATTTATCACGAAGGAAGCCAATTTCTAAAGGCACATCTCGCTGAGATGCTATCTGAGCAGATATGCCTCGGCCTCCTTCACCACCAGCGATGAAGAGAAGGAAAAATGCCGTAAAGGTGCAAAAATGGGACTTCACATGTTACACGTGAAATGAGAACTCCAGGATGACAGCAGCATGCTGGAACCCGCAGGAGAGGCGGATATTCAGACAGCATGTCTAAAGCGTTCGCCATTAGCCGTGACAAGATAGTGATGCTTGCATTGTAGAGTTTGGCACGTCTTTCACTAAGAAAACAATAGCACGGTACTATGTTTTTGGAGATTTACCATGGTATAACCTTTGGGTACAATACTGTGGTACATTGTACTTTTATATCTAAAAGATAATTTCTTCCAAAGCAACTTAGGAAAGATTATTTATAACAATCAGTGTTGTGGTACATATCTGATTGTACCATGCACCGCCACAGTACTTTCATGTAAAAGCTGACCTTTAGAAAGTAAATGTAACAGCCTCGCTCTGTTTCACAAGAGCCATAGGCTATAATTCTCTGGCTTTTTATTGACCCTGTTTTATTGCGCAACAAGTCTTTGTTTCATGGGAAAGTGAAAGTAGGTTACAATGCAATAAAAACTATTTTATACTAAATAAAGTCTGAAATGGATTAGGACTGTCAGATTTGTCTACTACAGTCATGTGTCTCAAAACGTAATTGCAAGACACTGAAGTCATGAATTTAAATATTTCTCATCAAATTCTTCTAAAATCAACTGATCTACATTAATTTTATAGGTCTATACTTTCAGTATGCCAAATATTGATTTATCTGTGTCTTATCGTCTAATAGGGATTATAGGAGAAACACACTTAATAAATAAAACAATAAAATGTTATATCTCACATCATGCATGCATCATGTAAAAAAAGGATAAATCCAGTTATTTTCAAAAAATTTTATTTTTATATATATATGAGAAAATATCTGCAGTGTAAAGAATATTTTACCAGGTCTCGAACCCAAAGAGCTTATGACCCAGTTTCAAAACAGCAAAACAATAAAACACATCGTATCATATCCTATATAAAGATGCATTCTCACTGGATTAAGTGTGAACATTAAAGTGAAAAACAGTAGTTCCACTTAAATAAAAAAAATAAAAAAACCTCTACCAAACATATAAAATGAAATATGCAGAAATTGAGATTCATGAATATGAATGCGATCTATGAATATTCATTCTATCAATAACTATAAAATAATCACCCATTAAGCTTATTGCATTAACCAAAATAACAAATCATCATTTACAATGCATTATAATATCATACAAACTCAAAAGTCATTTGTCGGCAGTATAATAAACTCATAAGGAAATAGAAGGATTATCTGCTTTGCTTACAAAACCTTCCCACCCACAATTACAGCTAATAATATTTCGATCACACTGGCTATTTATTATAGATACTGTGGGGCAAAAGCAGTAAATCAAAGTGTGCAATGTGAAAGTTCATACAGGAGCTATACAGTAGTATACAGTATGCTATACACAACTAGTGAGCTGCCTATGTAGTCAGTATGTTCAAGCAGCATTTCACGCTTTGCTATATGGCGGACAAAACACAAGGAATTTAAATATACATTTTATTAAATTCAGAGAAGTACCAGTAAAAGTAATTTAAATGTAGCCTAATGTAATTTAAATGCGGTTTACATGAGCGCTAATTGAGTTGATTACAATGCAGAGCCACTTTTGAGCCTAGCTACAATTCTGTTTTTATGCGAACACTATGGTATTTTTAGGGTATTTTCGTCATCAGCACTTTGCAGTAATTAGTACACTGAACCAGGCCGTTGTTTCACAGTTGGAAAAGAAACGGAGGAGACTGAATAAGAACAACAACAAACTGCTGACTGTGCGCCTGTGCTAAACCAAAGTATGCTTCTGGGCTTTCTAAGCAGGCAGCTCACAAGGCTTTATAACAGAGGGCAACAGCAGCATGTGGAAAAGGAAAATAATGGCCATCTCCCATTCTGAGCATTTAACCAGCAGTCCGTCAGTGAAGCGACAAAAGTCTGGAAACAGGAAATGCCACCTTATCCCAGATAGAGCACAGGACGGAACACCGGAAGTACTGAGAATATCACAATCCATGCTGAAATGTGCGCTTGGAGAGCCAGATCTCAAAGAAAGAATGTGATTGGCCGAGACTCTCGGGCTGCTTTCCCTCTGGTCCTCTCTCGGCTGCCGCTGGTTTGTTTAACCCCTTAAATTCTGTACATCAAAACAAAAATTAAGTGATTTAATAACAGATTTACATTTCAAATAATGTCTTTTGACAAAAGTATTCTTTGATAAATATCACACATGCCATTTTTATGGTTTAGCTTATTATTAATAGATATTAAAGGGATAGTTCACCCAAAAATGAAAATTTGATGTTTATCTGCTTACCCCCAGGGCATCCAAGATGTAGGTGACTTTGTTTCTTCAGTAGAACACAAATTATTTTTAACTCCAGCCGTTACAGTCTATCAGTCGTATAATGCATGGCAATGGTAACAAAATCTATGAGTGTAAAAAAAACATGCACAGACAAATCCAAATTAAACCCCTGCGGCTTGTGACGACACATTGATGTCCTAAGACACGAAGCGATCGGTTTGTGCGAGAAACCGAACAGTATTTATATAATTTTTTACCTCTAATACACCACTATGTCCAACTGCTTTGAGCGCGCGCACGGCATCCGGTGTGTCAGGTGTGTACGCGCTCTGGCGTAGTTTATGTTAATGGGTGTGTTGATATCCAGCCGAAGAGCAATCAAGCATAACTTCAGGCGAGTAGGCTCAGAAGTTGGGAATACGTGGAAAGTCACCACTCCCGAATGAGTTCGCGAGAGAGAACATAATCTTTTAGTTTTAAGTTGGTTTGAACAAGCCGAATAAGCGCAAGTACACTCTTAAAAATAAAGGTGCTTCACGATGCCATAGAAGAACCTTTCTGTCTAAATGGTTCCATAGAGAACCTTTAACATCTGAAGAACCTTTCTGTTTCACAAAAGGTTCTTTGTGGTGAAAGAAGGTTCTTCAGATTATAAAAAGGTAAGAAAGAGATGGTTCTTTAAAGAACCTTTGACTGAATGCTTCTTTGTGGAACCAAAAATGGTTCTTCTATGGCATCGCTGTGAAGAACCTTTTGAAGCACCTTTATTTTTAAGAGTAAGTACCATTTTGATTAGTCGTCGTACCTACAACGACTGTGCACTCTGTAAACAAGGAGTGACGTATACGCGTGAGAGATCACTTCCGGCGCTTGCGTAAACTACGCCAGAGCGCGTACACACCTCACGCACCGGACGCCGTGCGCGCGGTTAAGGAAGTTGGACATAGTGGTGTATTAGAGGTAAAAAATTATATAAATACTGTTCGGTTTCTGGCACAAACCGATCGTTTCGTGTCTTAGGACACCAATGTGTCTTCACGAGCCGCAGGGTTTAATTTGGATTTGTCTGTGCATGGTTTTTTACTCTCATAGATTTTGTTACCATTGCCATGCATTATACGACTGATAGACTCCAACGGCTGGAGTTAAAAATCATAATTTGAGTTCTACTGAAGAAACAAAGTCACCTACATCTTGGATGCCCTGGGGGTAAGCAGATAAACATCACATTTTCATTTTTGGGTGAACTATCCCTTTAAGGAATATTAGTACATTTAAAGACATTAAAATAAAATTCATTTGTCACACTGCAGGCAGTATCTGATATACTCATATTTTGAATTAGATTTCATTTTTATATATCTGTAATTATTTTAGTTAAGGTTTTAGTCATTTTGTAGTTTTTATTTTGATTTTATTTTTTACTTTTTTAATAAAAGTATTCATCAATAAGTATCTATTACTTTTAGTTTATTTAATAGTTATTTTAGTTCTTCAAGTTAAACTAAATGAGCAATATCACACGAGTAGCAGAGCGACATGGCTGTATATCAGCACAGCTGTGATTCGGCTGTAGAAGCCTTGTTTACAACCCCTGTTTCACTCTCTTTCAATATAAAAGCCTTTACTGCTAACTCACTCATTAAAAAAGGAGCTCTGATATACAGCATTAAAGTTACATGAAATATAACATGATGAGATTTTGCCCTCAGACAAAACTATGTGCTCTGGAAGAAATAATAGATTAATGAGACCAAAACGACACTCGCTGTGGAAAAAAAATTGCAAGCGGAGTGAAACAAACGGTGAAACGATTGGAGTGCTGTTGTCACTAGAATATCGCACGGCTGGAAAAGGCTCTCAGCCAATCTGATTTGAGGACCAGAAAGAACTGTTGTATAAATAAAAATATGAAATGTTGCCCTGACAACTAGCTGAAATAAATAAAGTGTAATTGTTTTTTATAAATTGTATTTTATTTTATTTTGAGTAAAGATTTTTTTTATGGGTTTAATTAATAATCATAATAAAGTTCCTGTGGCTCAGTGGTAGAGCATTGTGTTAGCAGCACAAAAGGTTGTGGGATCGATTCCCAGGGAACACACATACTGGTAAAAAAAACCTGCTAAATGCATGAATTATAGAATTATTATAAATTATAACCCTGACTACAGAAGTATAGTCAATAGGTGATTACAAATGCTTAAAAAATGGTGCATTTTATATGAATATCAAAATATTCACACCTTCCTCTTCATAAATGAGGCCTTTGTTAGTCTGTCCACCCTCTGCATGAGTCCATGGACCCATTTTTCTCTGGGGTCGGTGCAAATCATACGGCCACGTTTCATTGTGAAGCTGCAGAGAGATGATTGCATTAAACATCATTAACTATGAGGTTTAAAATAGACAATCACATATAAAAGACAGATATCTCTTCTGTGGTTCACTGCAGTGCAATACATTTTATGGCATCCCTTCACTTTGTGTCACATGTCTCTCTGAGTGCCAGTCATGATTCCAAAGAAGTCTAAATGTTTTATTAAAACCCAACCAGATTCTTATATTAAATAACTAAAACATAGTCTAAAAGGTCTTACATATACAGCCGTGGCCAGAATTACTAGCACCCTCGGTAAAACAAAGAAGGCTATGAAAATAAATCTGTACTTTTATTTAGCTGTATTTCACAGCCTTCTTTGCTTATATTTACCAAGTAGTATATTAATGTTGCTTACACAACTGCTGGGATGTTGCAGCCTCCGTCCAGCTCTAGTTTTCTGTAGCTGATCACTCTGTTCCTCGTAGACGGCTTAATATTTCTGACATACTGCAGACAGCAGTCCTCATACGAGCCTACAGACATACAGACATACACATCAATGGCATAAAAAAACGCATTTGCATCAATGAATCATAGCATAAATATTTTTGCAGATGATTTAGTGAATGTGTCTAATAAAACCATAAATAGTGGCAAACAAGGAAGGGATGGAAAAACAACATGGGTGCTTATCATATGAGAACTGTTAACAGAGCCATAGAAGTGAAACTGAATTCAATAACTATTCAAAGTACACACATACAAAATGTTTAGTAACCTCTAAGTGACTTATTTTTAAATTACTATTACAGGAACATGGTGAGGTGGACACACTGTTATCAGTACTTTTACCATTTCTATTATTTCTTTTATATTTTTTCAATTAATTATTTGCTTTGTTGTACAAAACAGAAGAGGACAAATGGGAGTAATATTATCATTCCATTACTGTTTACTATATGCATATATGCAATAGGAATAAAAGCACTCAAAAATCACTTAAAATTACACTGTAAAAAAAATTCCGTAAAATTTACAGTAAAAAACCAGCAGCTGTGGTTGCCGGAATTTTACCATAAAAAATACGGTAGGAACGTTTTAGGTTTTACAGTTTTAATTTCATTAACTGATATAATGTTAATATACCAACCTTATTGAAGTACTGAAATCTGTTTTGTACCTTTGTAATACACTGATAACCACTAAATGCAGGAGGTGATGAGAAAGTCACATGATGAACCAAACCCCATCACAAGCATATCATAATCATATTATATTTAAATAATAACATATATAGAAGGTGCACAGTGTCATTCACACAAACACTAAACACCATCATGGTAACACACATGAAACTGAAATAATGCAATAAACATTCATTTAACAACATTAGGTGTAACACACAAACCTACTATACAAAACTGATAAGAAAAAACATAGTTAGAAGAAGAAACATAGTTATTACAACAAAAAACATCACATTTGAAATGTAATGCAGGGAATTCTGGGAATGTCAATTTACGGTTATTCACTGTAAATTATACTGTCTTTTTTACTTCCAAAAACGGTATACTACCGTAAAATTAATTTCTAATACATGTAATGTCCAATACAGTTTTTCACCGTATATAGTAGGGGAATTTACCGTTAACCATTTAACGGGTTTTTACTGTAGCATTTTTACAGTCTTTTACCGTTAAATTCACGGTCATTTTTTACAGTGTATGACAGATGCTGTAAAAATATACTTTAAAAATAATAATATATAAATAGCATAATTAAATATCATTTAAATATAATACATATCATGCAACAAATATGTATGGATATGACAAAAACTAATGATTACCAAACTTTACATTGCATGTGTGATTTTAATTAACATTTAGAATGATGCAATTTAACATTGCTGCACCATTAAATACATTAATTTGTTTTTCTTTTAGAATTCGTTTGAACAGGCAAAATACACCCTGACAATTGGATTTTGAAATGTAAAAATGTATTCAATTGTTGTTGTTCTGAACTTTGAAGAAGTGTTTTCTGTGTAAAAGAATCGGATTATTTGTAATACAATCATCACATGTGGTTTTTACCTTGTGCCAGAGTGAGGTAGAGGAATCCCAAGAGCACGATGAAGAAGAGGATGCTGAACCGCATGATTTCCCAGTGTCTCTGCTGTCAAAAATGAGTCAGAAATTCATGAACTGCTTTACCAGATACACTCACAAACACAATAGATGCTCTTACGAGAGCCTCCATAAACCTTATCAGCACCGAAGATGCGTTTTCCAACATACTTATCCTCATTTCTCCGGCCTTGACCCTTGGACATCATAAGAAAGCTCTTTGTGTTGTCAAAAAAACTGTTAAAATTATGACAGATGCTGTAAAAATATAATTTCATCATCTCTGAACAAAACAAGCAACAAAGACAAACCTACACATTTTATGAGAAGAAAACGAAGACAAAACAGAATGCAAGCTTTGTGGATGAACACATTAATCTTAATTTATCTTTAGTAAATCATTAATGAATATTGACCTGTGTTACAGTTTTTTTCCGGTCACTCCAACACATGCAGTAAAACCGCAATAATCACTATGTCAAATTTACTCGGAAACCCAACAGGTGAAGGTAAGCATTTCAAAGAGAAAACAAAAATCATATAGTTTTGTATCATAAAAGAGTTTAGATCTTTGAAGGATTGCTGTTAAACGTTAGATGCTGTAAAATTATGTTGTTTTCGTATTAGACTGCTCACCTTGTTTGTATAGAAAAGCGTAGTTTCTTCCCAGTACCAGGATTCTGTGCATGTTTCCCAGCTGCATTGACTTATAATGGGCCCAACCCTGATACCTGAGCCAGGTGAAGCCACATCCCTCACGAGGAAGTGATGGGACATTATGAGATCAGCTTTTGAAATTACGGTATTTAACTGTAAATTTAAGTTAAAACTGTAAAACCTAAAACGTTGCTACCGTATTTTTTTACGGTAAAATTCTGGTAACCACAGCTGCCGGTTTTTTACCGTAAATTTTACGGATTTTTTTTTACAGTGCATGGTTGGTTAAATGAAAACCACAGTAACCGATTTGTCTATCAGGATTTTGTATTTATTCCCTTTGATTCTGATGCGGCTAACCAACATATTAGTTTAAATGAATAGTTCATTCAAAAATAAAAAAATAATTGCCAAAAGGCCATCCAAGAAGTAGATGAGTTTGTTTCTTCATCAGATTTGGAGAAATGTAGCACTGCATCACTTGCACAGCAATGGATGCTCTGCAGTGAATGGGTGCCGTCAGAATGAGATTCCAAACAGCTGATAAAAACATCACAATAATCCACAAGTAATCCACACCACTCCAGTCCATCAAGAAAGGCAAAAAGCTGCATTGCATTATTCCGTTTACTGTTGAATAATGGTTAAAACAGTTGTTGTTAATAGGAATGTAACTCATGTGTTAAAAACATTCATTGCTATTTCTTTCAGCTTTATGCTACTGCTTTTGTTGCTGTGTTGCCGAATAATAAAAATAGCAATTTATGGCCGACAAATTTAAAAGTTGCTTTGGATAATAGCATCGGCTAAATCCATAAATGTAAATAAATGTAACATAAATAAAACCATGTACTGCACACATTTAGTTTTCATTGTTTTGATTAAAAATGAAAAAAAGTTCTCATGCACAGAAAAAAGGTGTAAAAAGAAGTTCCACTCAAAAATTGCTAATAAATTTCACAAACAATGAAATAAACATGAAGTTTTAAAAGTGTAAAACATATTCCAATAATCTTTGTTTAATTTACAACTTTGAAAAATCATTTTTACAGACTATTTTGTTTCCAAAAAGAATAAAAAGTACAATTAAAATGGAAAATTGTAAATCATGTATGATCTTCTGAGCCTTCAGAAGCTATATGATAGCTTTGTGTGAGGATCAGACAGAAATTTGAGTCATTATTCATGAAAATGTTTCATTACACCAATCAAATCTGTAATGGTAACAATACATGCAAATATGTATAAACCGCACACAGTAATAATCATTAGAAAGTGAATGCAAAAATATTCAGTAGCTGTTTTGGGTTTTATCACATGACAAACAGGGTTATGAAGTATAAGCACAGGCCAAAAACTACTATAATTGAAATGATTTTTTAATTAAGCAACATATTAAAGCATGTTTTGTTTGGCTTGCATAGTACAACAAGCTGCCTTATTCATGCATATTTGATGATGATCATTCAGTTCTTGCCAGGAAACACAAATATGGCACAAATTTGGGCCTTGCAGCGTTTTAAGAAATGTAAGCCAAACACGGAGCTGTTTAAACTTGACTTGTGTTGAATGAGACTTCTAGCATTTTGCAGCTACACAAAAAAAACGAGTGACAGGAGAAAGTGCATCAGATTTCAACCACCAAAGAAACAAACACGCTTCAGCTTAAAAGCACAGATGTTATAGCATATCATGTTTCCTACTTTAAGTTTCCTTAACCTTTTAGCGTGGCATCTTAATGAGTGACATTTTACTTTCTGATTGTCAGGTTGCTGTTATGTAAGTTTCTTCTGTTTTTCTAAGCTTTGACTTCAGTTTGAACAGAGAACCTGTAAAAGAGTTTCATGGACTGAAATTCAAAACGTGTAAATACTACAGCTGAGTGACTGTTCACCTTTATAAGTTAGGCTACTTGATTTGCTTTTACAATGCAATCGAAATTAATCTGGATTAATTTTACGGTTAAAAAATTACCAGAAATATTAGGCTACATATTATATTATTATACTATATTAAGTACTTTTAGTGAAATAAAAAACACTTAATAATAACTGGGAATAACATTTATTCCCTTTCAGTTAACTTTTTATTGTATAACTCTTATGATAAGCCATAAAACTGATGATAAAGAGGAGAACAAAGACATGACTGTGAGAATATATGATTGCTTTTTTGTAACAGTGCAAATAAGAGAAGATAATCCTAATGGATATAATGAAGTATTGATACAATGACACTGAACCTGCACTTGAGTCTTTTTTATCTATATGAGTCATATGTTGATTCATTCACCGCTCTGCCAGATTTGAGTTCATTTGTTAAACGGTTCGTCAGAAAGAGTGATTTGACTCCTGAGGTTGTGAGTCTTTTGAACGATTCATCAAGAGAATCAAATCATAAGAGTCATCGTGAATCGAACTACACGGGTCACGTAATCGGGCCGAACTGTGAACAGTTTTTTTTCTAGTATAATACAGTATGTTTTACGTTACGCGTATAATATTATGTCAGTAAATGTCCTTTTACCCAAAGTCCTTTTAAGAAGTCATGTCACTTGGCGGCCATCTTTGAAACGCCTCTTGGGCATGCAAGTGCAACTCCTATATCTTTGAATGGGGAAACATCAAATTCTGAGAAGGGTCTGGCTGCAGCCTTGCACTTGCACTCTCAGACTTGCACTCTCAAACACTTGCGCTTCCGCTAGCAACGTCACTTGCAGTCTTTTATTTTTTTATTTTGTTCTATTGATTACTTTCTGTTTGAATCTCTCAACATTTTACAACAGTAGCCAGGTGGTGAAGACAAGAAAAAAGAAACTAAATTACGAAGTCACTTGCAATCGCCACTTGCACTCTCCGATACCTGCGACGTCACTTGCAATCGACACAAATCGTGCGTGTTGCCAATGGAGACAAGAAGCTGTGGTGGTGATTAAACGATTAAAACTAATTTAGTACTATAACATACAGGGTCCTGCAAGAAAAAGACAAGACCCACAAATCCGTGGCCACAGAACAGCAGAATATGAACGCATGCACAAAGTCTCTCGTTAAGCGTTTTCCTCCTGTAGAAAAACATAGAACATTGCAGCCAGCCTCTAACGACCAGTTGACGAATTACAGTTTAAGTCACTTCCGTGTTGGCGTCACGAGAGAGAGTGCTATCACCAACTCTTGCGTCACTGAGGTAACATAGAATTCGAATTCTGATTTCGTAGAACGCATTTAAAAGATTTTAGTGCAGCCCGTGAGGAGTAGCCATGCGGAAACAGTGCTGTGAATCTGTGCACTGGAAAGTCGCAAGCCGTAGTTTGAAAACCGTTGCTATTGTAAATGTTGGAATTTTTATTTTAAAGGTTTTTAAAGTGATTTTTGAAGTTAAAAATGTCTTGATGGATTTGTTTCTTACAAACACGCGCCTTTTGGCTTTACAGCATGCTAACTGATGGACTGGAGTGGTGTGGATTATTGTGATGTTTTTATCAGCTGTTTAGACTCTCATTCTGACGGCACCCATTCACTGCAGAGGATCCATTGGTGAGACACTGATGCAATGCTACATTTCTCCAAATCTGTACCTAAGTCACATATTAAAGCATGTTTTCACAGTTTAAATACTGGAACATCAATGTTTCTAATTCACACATGTTTTTTGATGATCATTCAGTTATTCCCAGGTATTATGTAAAGAAAAAAAAGTGTATACATTACAAACAATATGAACAATAAATGCATTAAGTATGTTGTTACTCTTAGTTTTTACAGATTCATATATGAAGGCATTTGGCCAGCATAGTACCAAAAATAACTAAAACTATAACAAAACTAAAAACATCAGGGACTCCATAGGATTAAAAACGTCAAAAGGATGAACAGAGGCATTTATTTCCCAAGCTGTTCTCTATCTCAGGTTGTATCATGTTCTAACAGCGTTTTGCATCATATTTCAAACTCTTCTGTCACCAGAATATTAAACCATGTGTTCTAAATGTGTTGTCCCTTTGGCCCCTTATTTCCATTTAAGAGTCGTCTTGAGAAGCCAGAGCTTGATGTGGGAATGTGGGATCTGTAAGTGGCCATGTGATAGTGTGGGTCACTGTTTATGATGTCTCATTTTCTTCAGAGCGCCCACTGAGCCATAGCAAGAGCTCGATCAGTTTGCCTTAGACAGAGTTTTCTTTTGTTTCTTTCTTTCTCACGGGATGCAATGATTTATTTTTCTTTCGTTTTTAAGTGTTATTGGTTTTAATGAAAATACCAACAACTATATGCTGTTATTTTCTAAGCAATCACACATAATAATTTAGCAAAAAACGCATATGATCAATATAATGTATATATATATATATATATATATATATATATATATATATATATATATATATATATATATATATATGACTTTAAAAAAGATTGATATTTCAAATAAATTCTGTTCTTTTGAACTTTACGTTCATCAAAGAATCCATGAAAAAGAAAAATGTATCATGGTTTCCACAAAAATATGAAGCAGTTCAACTGTTTTCAACTGATAATAATCAGAAATGTTTCTCGAGCAGCAGATCAGCATATTAGAATGATTTCTGAAGATCATGTGACACTGAAGACTGGAGTAATGATGCTGAAAATACAGCTTTGATTACAGAAATAAATTACATTTGACAATATATTCATATAGAAAATGGTTATTTTAAATTGTATTTCTATTCTAAATCTATTTTTAGATTTTACTACATCCCCACCAAAATAAATAAATAAAAATACAAATTTGATCAGCTACTGTATTTATTGCTTGTGAATGGCTCATCACTTTATTTTCGGGCTGTTTTCAAAGGAAAACCAGCTGTATTATAATTACGAAATTGCATACCTTAAGAATCTTTCCCATGTTATATCTTTACAGTGTCTAAGGTCATTTTCTGTGAGTTTTTGGAGAAAATATATAGATGTCATAAATCATGAGCGGATCAGATTCGCCCCGAGCGGCTGGAGAATTCAAAGGGATGATTTTCAATCTGTCTAAACACTGAATTTAT